GCCAGGCCCAGAGAATTGACTAGAAATAGGACTGGAAGGAAAGGGGCCATGGTGAGACTAGAGGCGTCAGAACAGGGGACCAGGACCAAAACCCACCTCTGGCCGATAGAGGAACAGCAACTGCAGCAGCTCTAAACTCTGGCCTACTACTTCAATGTCAGGGAAGGCCAGTGTACCAATCAAGCAGGAGAGCAAGGGCCCTGGCCACAGACGTTGACAGTAGGCAGGACCCTTCTCTGCCACGTTGCACAAAACTGTGAGCACCTGCAGAGAGACATGTATACACAGTCCCCACAAAGGATGAAAACTAAAGATTAATGATGGCTTTGGCAACAGATCCGGGATTTAAGTGACCCCGACACCTACCAATACGCTCACCACATTAGAAACTGGCAACAACTGCAAGAGGGGCTCAATCAGATCCATGGAGAGCAAGGAGGTACAGAAACTAGGACTGTTGGCTGGAAGGGAAAATGTCACAGTAAAATCCCTCAAACGGGTCTGAAACTGCCCCCTGCCCCCACCCCTACCCACCTCAGCTGAGTCTAAAGGTATCTACTGTATCTAAAGGTCCTAGGCACATTATCTAAAGGCACATTATGGCACATACCAGTGAGGTTGTTAAGGAGCCAGAGGCCCTCAGGAAGTAAGCTGGACTGTTTCTGAAGGAAAAATTGCAGAAGGATAAATAAGGCTGCCAAAACACGCTCGTCTTCAAGCTGATTCTGCCCTCCCACAATCTCCACTGCTGCTTCTGTTAGCAAGTTGCTTAGACACCGAAGCACAGGGCAAGCCAGCTGTAAAGACAAGTTGGGAATATGGTCTAAGGAGGAAAGGATTACCTACGTACTGAAGGAGGAACACAGCAGGAAGAACGGTAGCCCAGACCTTGACCTGTTCTCTTCACCTACCAACTCCAGTCCTTCATCCTCTGTTCTCTGGACAGCTCCAGCCACGTCTAGTAGCAGCAGTCCCAGAGTGGACAGACCCCCATGGGAGATAAGCAGGGCATTGTTGACCTGGCTGGGCAATAAGAATCAAATAGTCCTACTCAGTCAATCCCAACTTTAACATGGCAAATGGCCTAGGTTTGTAGGCTTCCTGGGATCCAAGTAAAGAGAACCCCAGAAGGAAGAAAACTCACTGCAATTACAAAGTTGAAACCAAAATTCAAAAACATAAGTGTCCTGGAAGGGAGCCCCAGAGAAGTTCTGTGGGACTTATGCAAATGGCCTGTGTTACCTGCAGATGATATAGTGCAGGCACCAGGCAAATTCCACAGCGACCCCAAGGTTCAGCTTTGGGCCAGGTTGCAACAGTCGCAGGATGTGCTCAGGGAGAGTGGAGCCCAAGACAGAACTGTGAGCAGAAGGAGAGCTGTGAGTTGGAACCACAGAAGCCAAGATGACAGTCATTCTTCCCAAACGCTAAGAGCAGGTGGGAAAGTATCCAAATCTGAAGCTCTTCCTAGCCAGACACATTGAGCTAAAATGTGCAACAGCTCTGGAAACAAGACTCAGTCAGGCCTCCAGGGGTTACAACACCAAGTAGGTCACACTTACCTGCACATCTGGAGGCACAATTTTACTTACGGGATGATCAGTTCTGGAGCTTCCTTAACCTGCAGAAGCTGGGACAAGGCATATCCAAGGGCTTCCAGCACAGTCAGATGGGGGGACTAGAAGTAGACAGAGTACACATCTGACTCTGGAAGCTGGGTCATAAGATTTCTCGTGACTTTCAATCTCTTAGCTTAGGGCAGAGGCTGAAGCTGCCTAAACAAAGCAAGGGAACTATGTAGAGACAAGTGAGGGGAAGGCTGTCCAAGGAGAGAGACAGTAGGTGGATGCTCACCTGGATGCAGGCAGCCAAGGCTGGAACAATGCCCTGTGGCAGGAGTTGCCTTCTCACAGCCTCACTCTCCACAATCAGGTTACCCAGTGTATACAGACAGAGCTCCTGAGAGTGGGACAACAAAAGCGCTGGGCATGGCCTATCTCAGGCTAGGGTAGGGGTGGGAGTGCAGAGGATGGAAGAGTCTTGTCTTTGAGGCTCTGGGCAAAAGGGAGTGGAAGATGATGGGCATATGTATGGCTATGGACATCATGGGAAACAAGCTTTCTTCTTCCCCCTATGTGCCAGCTCCAACTACACCCAAAAGCATAATTTTTAAATCCAAGCCAAGAACAAGGAAGAGACAGGGCTTACTATAAAGTCTGAGCTGTGACCGGAGAGGTAGGTGAGAAGGTAGGAAGTGGCTGGCAGGCAGGCCTCAGCCACCGCAGACTGCTCAGAATGAGAGAGCTCATGAAGGCACCGAGCGGCCTCAAGCTGCAACAGGGCTTGGTTGCTGGTCAGAAGCCCGACTAAGGTCCGCATGCTGCCCTCCAGCCTACATGAGTGAGCACCAGAGCCCTGCTCAGCCTGTGGCCCATCCCCTCCACACTCCTGTCCATCCCTCAGAGCCCCAGCCCCCACTGACACCACCCACACTGACCAGATGAAGGTCTGCTGCGTCTCAGGATGCTGCAAGCCTCGACGAAGGCTGACCAGAGCCCTCTCTCTCTCCTTTTCCTCTGTCCCCCGCTGCGCTAATCGTAAGAACTGCTGGATCTGGAGTGCAGGGCAAGGAGAGAAGAGATGGCAACACACAATTGCCAGAAAGCAAGCATGAATCCCACTCTGCCCACTTTGCCTGTGAGCACTGTGATGCTGCACCATCCCTAGAACTTGTCATTCACACTAATATGGCTCATAAATCTCAATCTTGCAGACATAAGAGGGAATCAGAACTGGGTTTAATACCAGCCCTGCCACTTCTCCACAAGGAACCCAAACCTCAGTTTTTCACCTGAAAAATGGAAATAACATCTTTCCTGCCTTCTTAAAGAGTTATTACAAGGATAACATTTAAACCTTCCAGTCTGGCACAACCTACCACTCTAGCCATTCTCCCCATGCAACCTATACTCCCAAAACCTAGCATAACATGACTTGTTTTTAATGCTTCCAAGCTTTTGCACAATGTATTCCTTCTCCTGGGATACCCTCCCCAGGTCCTCCACTCCCTTCAGATTTCTACTCCTGTTACTGCCTCTGGGAAGTAAGCTCTTTCTGGCTTCCTTTTGCACACTGAGGGGTTTCTATTGTGCCTCATGTTTTCTTCATGGCAGCTGGTGAGCAAACCTGTCTCCTTCACTGGGTTACTGCAAGCACTTCACAGAAAGGGAGTCTCTTCATTTTTGTATACCTCAGTACCCAGCACAGTACCTTGGCATAAAGTAAGCACACAATGAACCAATGAACCTAGGCATGAGTACTTTGTGAACGTACATAAACATAGACAATATAAACAAAGGGGATGCTCAATGCTTGCTGAATAAATAAATCAGCTAAAACTAATCATTTCATTCACTTATTCACTAAATACTGACCATCTACTATATGCCAGATACTACACACTCACCTGAGTTTTAAATGACAACAAATAAGGTAAGGTCTAGGTTCTGCGGCACCTGAGTAGTTCAGTCAACCATCCAACTTTGACTCAGGTCAGGATCTCCGGGTTTATGGGTTCAAGCTCCATATCAGGCTCTGTGCCGACAGCTCAGGGCCTGGAGCCTGCTTCAGATTCTGTCTCCCTCCCTCTCTCTGCCCTTCCCCCGCCTGCACACACACACTCTCTCTCTCTCAAAAATAAGTAAACACTGAAAAATAATAAATTAAAAAACAAAGAAATAAGTCTAGTTGGAAAAATGATAAACAAGCAAACAATTAGTAGGATTGATGATTCTGCAAATGGGCTGTCAAGACAGAATACTAAAAGAGACACGCTTTTAGATGCTGCAAATGCAAATGCCTTGAAGCAAGAAAAGAGCCTAATACAGTCTTTCAAGAACTAAAAAGGGGTGTGTGTGGCATCTGGGTGGCTCAGTCAGTTGAAGGACCGACTTAAGCTCTGGTCATGATCTCTCGGTTGAGTTCGAGCCCCACATCAGGATCGCTTCTGTCAAGCTTCAGTCCAGATTCCACTTCAGATTCTCTGTCCCCGTCTTTGCCTCTCCCCGGCTTCCGCTCTCCCAAAAGTAAGTATTAAAAAAAAAAAAAGAACTAAAAAAGGGTAAATTGGACTAAGATGAATAAACTGGTAAGCTTGGAGGTGGGCAAAGGTTAGCCAATGCTGGACATTATAGGTCACAGGAAGGCTTTCGGTCTCTATGTGTTCTTAAAAGACACATCTGTCTGATGTATGAAGAATGAACTTGAAGGCGGCAAGCACAGATGCAAATGACCTGTTAGAGGGCTATTGTGAGTATACAGGATAGCGTAGCAACAGTGGTGAAGCACGTAAAGACGCCAAACTCCTTCGGACTTTTAAAACGACTACAACTTGATGTATTGGTGTGGGGATGAGGGACCGAGTTCTCGAGGATGATTCCCCGCTTTCTGGCTTGGCCCACTGGATGGATGGAGGTAGTGAAGGTAATGCGTTCAGATTTGGGGTGGACCTCAAAAGAAATTTGGCGCCAGCTGGCGTCAACCTCACTGCGCACCCTGTCGCCTCACCTCAAAGTCCCCAAGGATCATGGCCACACATCCCCCTTCGGCTTCCTCCGGGGCGTCGTCTCTTAGCAGTCTCTTACTAATCAGCTGCTGTTCCCTCCGCGCCTTCCGCAGTGCTAGGGGCAAAGGAGCCGGCTGAACGTAGGGGGGGCACCTAGGACTCTCAACCCTGTCTCCCACCCTGGGGCCTCCTCATCCTCCGACCGCCATGGCCACCCCTCGCATGCTGCCTTCTCCCTTGCTCGCCAGCACCTGCCTCCCGTTCCCGTCGACGGCACCGTAGCTCCTCCACCACGCAGCCCACTGGTCTGAGGCGACCTTGCCGTCCGCTCCACATGGTGGACCTGGATAAAATTCGCCCAGAGCTGAGAGCCAGAGACGCTCTCCACGAGCCTAAAATAGGGCACGCACCGCGCAGCCGCAACGCTGGCCGGAAAAGTAGGCGCGAGTGGGCGGAGCACCGCGTAAAGTGAAGGCAGGGAGGAGCAAGTAGGCGCAACCAGGGTACGGAGCGGGGCGGGGGTAGAGTGGTGCTGACGGACGGAGGGGAGGGGCGAAGGAGGAGTAGAATGGGGTGGGGCAAGGGCAGGGAGGGGCGGAGCGAAAGCTAGAGGCGGAGTAGGATCTGGGCAGCAAGGAACCAAGCAAGACCGAAAAGCACACGCTCTGTCTCAGATTCGTTTACCTCCTTCTCACTTCTAGGAAAGAAACTCAACCTCGACCCCGACTGGCAGTGCCTCACCTTCCGCTCAGCAAATACAACTTCCCCATACCTAACATCCTAGATGAACACTGAAAACTACCCAACCTCTAGGAAGATTTCACCAGTAACGGCTCTCACTAATGAACGCTGGATTCGGATTACTTTACTGAATTGTTCACCATCATGACAATTATACCCAGTATGCGCGTGTGAAGAAAATGAGACAAATATAATTATTTCCCTGTTCTAAATAAAAGTGAATCGTGTTATTGGAGGATAAAGTAATTTTTAAATGTTTATTTATTTTTGAGAGAGAGAGAGAGAGGAAGGGAGAGGGGCAGAGAGAGGAGACAGAATCTGAAGCAGGCTCCAGGCCGTGAGCGGTCAGTACAGAGCCAGTGGTGGGGATGGAGCCCATGAAATGTGAGATCACGACCTAAGCCGAAGTCCTACACTTAAATGACTAAGGCACCCAGGCGATCCTAGTAACTCTTTTTTTTTAATGTTTAATTGTTTTTTAATATTTACTTATTTATTTTTGAGAGACAGAAATGAGAGGCAGAGAAAAAGGGAGAGAGGATCCCAAGTAGGCTCTGTGCTATCCGGGATCAAAAAGTCCCACCCAATCAGGGCTAGATCCCAGGAACCATGAGATCATGACCTGAGCAGAAATCAAGAGTGAATGCTAAAGAAATAAAGAAAGAGAGAGAGAGAGAGGAAGGAAGAAAGGAAGAGTCCAAATGCTTAACCAACTGAGACAGCCAAGCCCCCCCTCCCCCCGGGGGGTTAAGTAATTCTTAAACAAAATTTTGAGTGCCATTAACTACTAGGTACTGGGGAAATACCGGTGAATGGTGAATTAAAAAACGAAACAAAACAAAACAAAACAAAACTGTGTTCCTTACCTCTGAAATCTGAATTGTGGCCAAGTAAGCCTTGCATGGTCTAAACCCTGCATACCTGTCCGGTCTTCAATGGAAGGGTGCCTCAACTAACTCACCTCTCCTGGGATTTCTCTTTGTTCCAAGCCTTTGCTTTCTTCCTTCTCCAGGCTTTTGCACAGGCTGTTACCCTCCCTACAGCCCTGTCTCTGCCCTACCCCCCCCCCAACAAACATCCTTCCCTTAATTAACACCACCCTCAAATCTCAATTACAGTATTCCCTACTCAGAACTACTGTACCTGTGTTCCTGTCATGAGAGACTATAGCAATGTATACTTCATAACCCTTTTCACAGCTGTCGTTAAGTTACAGTGTAATTGTTTGGTGCTGTCTCCTCCCCTTCACAATTCCAAGAAAGTAGAATCCTGGTGCCACTTAAGAATTTGTATTGGAGGCCTCTAATTTTTAGAAAGCTACTACTTAGGCAAATAAAAGAGCAAATCCAGGAAAGGGAACTGTTCTTCAAATCAACTTCCTCTCGTAGTCTAGTGGTAAGGATTCGGCACTTTCAAACCAACTTCCTTCCCTAGAATTTAATTTCATCTCTTGGAGTCAATTGCATTCAATTTCTTCCACAAAACACCTAGTTAAATGTCTGTAGACCATCATCTTGCCCCCACATCTCTCCAGGCCCAGCATCCATCCAGCTCAGGGATAGCCATTTACTGAGCACCTGCTGTGTACCATGCTCTGGCTGGAGGTAGGGTCTGGATCTTGTCTCCTCTGCCATGGGACAGGCTGCTTTTATCACCTACACATTTCTACTGTGGGCAAGGTAAGACAAGTCACCAGGCAAAATGTCTGCTTAGAGAGTTACAGCTGCCCACCCTGGTTTTTTTTGCACTTATCTGCCCAGCAAGGCTGTCAATTCCAGGGGTACCTGGGTAGTTCAGTCAGTTAAGCATCCGACTTCAGCTCAGGTCATGATCTCACAGTTTGTGGGCTCGAGCTCACATCAGACTCTGTGCTGACAGCTCGGAGCCTGGAGCTTGCTTCAGATTCTGTGTCTCCTTTGCTCTCTGCCCCTCCCCCACTTGTGCTCTGTCTACAAAGATAAATAAATGTAAAAAATTTTAAGAAAAAAAGACTGTCAATCCCATAAACAGCAGCCCCATGTCCTCTCTAATACAGAGCTCACTGTTCCTTTCTCCACAACTCCCACAAGTCCTTGGTTTTCCCCTGTGAGCCCTCTTGTCTATGGACTGTAGCTCTGGGTCTGTGTTTGCCTCCCTCACCTGCTTGAGTGACTATGTGATGGCCATGTCTGCATTCCTGGTTTTGTATCAGCCCTAACATTTGGTAGACAAATAATAGATCTTTGTTGAATCAAGGTGTGAGTTGGGAATCTTTGCAGAACCATTATTGCCTCTCTTCGTGTGCGCCCCAGAGTGCCTCCCCTAAAATGACGGCATTTGCTAAGGAGCCAGGCTTCAATGGCCTGAGTCTTCTGAATGCAGAGGCTTTGATGAAGAACATAACAATCAGGAGTACTCTCAATAGATGTGGCTCTGTAGTCATAGACAGCTATTGCCATTATCTCCATTTTACAAAGCAGAAATCTGGCCCAGAAATCTGAGGCCCAGAAACTTCCCCAAGTCTTACACCTCAGTGGTAGAGCTGGGATTCCAAGCCTGGCTCTCTGACTGCAGAGTCAGTGTATTCAACACTGACCTATACTCACATCTTTGTCCTCAGGGATGCTCCAATGACCTGGCTTGGCTTTGGGACATGGCTCAGGGTATCAGGGTATGACCAACAAGGCACATGGGGGGAGGGGGGGCAGTCTGGTATGATGAAGCCTCCCTGTTTAGAATGAGGACAGATGTGAAGCCATTTCTGAAAAACAGAAATGAGAATTCAAACATTTTTATATAGCTCTTTCCCCATAATCCACAGGTGCACAACTGTGAGGGTAGTTGTAGAGGCATAGTCTTTACCCCCTCTGTGGGACACTTGCTTTTTTTTCTTGGCAAAACAGGTAAGTTACTAATTAATCCTCATTCAACATCAGTCCAGCCTTTCCTTTCTAGACACAGGAATTGTGTTGGGGGGAAGGGCAGGGGAGAGCCAGGTGCAAGCGGGGAAAACTGATTTAAAAATGCCTTGTTTCTCAATTTCAGGATAAGGTAATGGAAACTCTAAGAGCCAGTTGGCCCTTAGAGTGTCTCTGTTAAACACTTTCTACTTTCAAGAAAGCTATTACTTTCTTAATAAACAAAGTTTTTAAAAGAACAAGTCAGCAAAAAAAAAAAAATGAAAAAAGGAAGAGCGTTGTTCTTCAGACCAACTTCCTTCTCTTGAACCTCATCCTATCCCTTGGGGTCAACATATGAAATCTGCAATTCCTCCACAAAATATCTAATCTATGTCTGAGGATATTCAGGAGATTGGATTTGGGTGTTGGTAAGTTAATAGTAACCACAAAGACTAGAGGAAAAAAAAAAAAGCAACTACCCTGTTGAGTCACTGGAATATAGGCAGAGGGAGGTAAGAGTCCTGGCCTGAGGCACTGGGGATCTTTCTTTCTCAATAGCTATCAAACAAGCCTGGGGTGTCTGACTCATCAGGGCACTGCCTGGGGCATTGCACTCTAGATGCCCTACAAGATCCTTCCCGTTACGGTCCCTCTCCTGGCAAAATCCTTCATTGCAAAATTTCCCAGAACAGTAGTGCATAGAGTCGTTCGGTGGCAGAGAGGTGGGGAGTGACCAGGGTTCACAAAGGAAGTAACAGAGTGACATCCCATGGTTACATAAACTCTCAGAGTCCGCCAAAGAGGACAGAAAACGTGTGGGGAGCCTAGAAACCAGAGAGTGCCGCTGCATCGGAGAGGAGCCAGAGCCCTTCCCTGAGCCCGCCAGGACGCAGAGGCTCGGAACACCAATCGACCATGGTGAGTGTACGGTCTTCGGGCCAAAAGGGAACTACTCGAGGAATCCCAGGGACTGCCTGGAGCTGCCCTGACCTCTGCTCTCTTCCCAGGTGCGCGCGCGCTGCTTGCTGCTACTGCTGCTGGTGCTACCAATGCTGTGCGTCTTTGCGACCACACCAGACCCCTGCGAAGTGGACGATGACGATTTCCGCTGCTTCTGCAACTTCACGGATCCTGAGCCCGACTGGTCCAGCGCTTTCCAGTGTATGGCTGCCGTCGAGGTGGAGATCCACGGCGGCGGCCGCAGCCTGGAACAATTCCTAAAGGCCACAGACACCGACCCCAAGCAATATGCTGACATGGTCAAGGCTCTGCGCTTGCGACGGCTCACAGTGGGCTCTGCACAGGTTCCCGCTGTGCTTCTGGTTGCCTTCCTGCGCGCACTCTCGTACTCCCGCCTCAAGGAACTGACGCTCCTGGACCTGGAGGTAACTGGCGCGATGCCGCCGCCGCCTCTGGAAGCCACTGGGCCAGGGCTCTCCACCCTCAGTCTCCGGAACGTGTCGTGGGCAACCGGAGGTGACTGGCTCGCGGAACTGCAGCAGTGGCTGAAGCCGGGCCTCAAGGTACTGAACATTGCGCAAGCACACTCGCTTGCCTTTCCCTGCTCCCAACTCCGCACCTTTCGGGCCCTCACCACTTTAGACCTATCAGACAATCCCGGACTGGGTGAGCACGGACTGACCGCAGCTCTCTGTCCGCACAAGTTCCCGGCCCTTCGGGCTCTGGCTTTACGCAACGCCGGGATGGAGACGCCCAATGGCGTGTGCTTGGCCATGGCGGCGGCTGGTGTGCAACCCCACAGCCTAGACCTCAGCCACAACTCGCTGCGCGCCACCGCCCCAGGCGCTCCTGGATGTGTCTGGCCCAGCACACTGAACTCTCTCAACCTGTCGTTCGCTGAGCTGAAGCAGGTGCCTAAGGGATTGCCGGCCAAGCTCAGCGTGCTAGATCTCAGGTGCAACAGGCTGACCAGAGCGCCGGGGCCAGAAGAGCTGCCCAAGGTGAGTAACCTGACACTGGACGGGAATCCCTTTATGGACCCTGAAAACCCCAAATACCAAGAAGACCCGATGAACTCTGGCGTGGTCCAAGCCTGTGCGCGTTCGGCCCTGGCGGTGGGGGTGTCCGGAACCCTCGCGGTGTTTCAAAGGGCGGGGGGCTTCACCTAAGGCCCAGGAGAGACTAATGAATTGGCTCAGACTGCCCTGGCTCCTGGGAAGCCTCGTCAGGACGTCTTAACCAAACAACCCTCTGCCCATGTTCATTAAAATGTGAAAACAACGATCCGTTTCATTCACTCAACAGATGTGTGTACTGGGTGTTTGTGATGTGCTGGGACAGACCTGGATGTGAAATCCATTATATTTAGACTTTCATCAGCTTAATTACCTAGAAACCTAAGAACAGAACTTCAAGGACGTTAGGGGCAGGGAATATTGCCTGTTTCGGTTGTGCGTGAGAAACAGGGGTTTCTGTGCAATTCAGCTTTCTGAGATTACTGGCACCTGTGTTAAAGGATATTTGAATGATAAACATGCCTAGTAAGTTACAGGATGTTTCCTCTGTGGTGCACTTTCCAAGAGCCTGCTTCTCCCTCTGTCAAAGGTAATAAAAACCGGAGCCACTTGCTTATTCTCTCTCTCTTTTATCTCTCCCACCCTCCTGCAAGAAGGGACAGCTATGGTACCTGTCCTATGTAAGCTCTGGGTTTCATAATTTCAGGGTTTCTCTTCTGCTGTGTAAAATCCCTCGGCACACAGGTATGCTGACTAAATTTGTTTATTCTAACAGATTTTTTGATGCGTGTGGAATTTGTTTTCAAAATTTTTTAATGTTTATTTACTTTTGAGAGAGAGATTGAGAGAGAGCAGGAGAGGGGCAGAGAGAGAGGGAGACACAGAATCCAAAGCATGCTCCAAGCTCTCAACTGTCAGCGCAGAGCCTAACACAGGTCTCAAACTCATCGAACACGGGATTGTGACCTGAGTTGAAGTTGGACGCTTAACCAACTAAGCCACCCAGGAGCTCCCTGTATGTGTGGAATCTTTAAAATTTTCTACATATAAGACCATGTCATCTGTGAACAGAGATAATTTTACTTCTTCCTTTCCACTTTGGGTGCCTTTTACTTCTTTTTCTTGCCTCATTTCTTTGGCTAGGATTCCACTATGTTAAATAGAAGGGGCAAAAGTGAGCATCTTTTTCCTGATCCTGATCGTAGAGGGTAAGTTTTCAGTCTTTATTGAGTATGATGTTATATTCATTGGTTTTTAAGATAAGAGAAATAACATGGCTGTACGAAGATGGGAGTAGTTCAGTAGAGAGGGAAAACTTGATATAGGAGGAAGAAGGGAGTCTTGTTGGAGGAATGTCCTTGAATAAATAAAAAAAAGAACTGGTACCACGACGCCTGGATGGCTCAGTGGGTTAAGCAACCGACTCTCTGTTTCAGCTCAGGTCATGATCTCGTGATTTCATGAGTTTGAGCCCTACATCGGGCTGTGCGTTGATGGTGTGGAGCCTGCTTAAGATCTCTTTCTCTCCCTCTCTCTCTGCCCCTCCCCTACTCATGCCGTCTCTCTCAAAATAAATAAATAAAGTTTAAAACATTAAAAAAGGAAAAAAAAAAAAAAAAGACTGGTGCCTAATGCACAAGTAGAAGGATTGGCCTCAGGGTAAGCACACAAACAGTCAACTTCTAGTCCCAGGCTAGAAGGCAGAGTATCTGGGCAAAGATGTTTCCGTGGTAACAGGAGACTGTGGAACTTCTGCAAAATTGAAGCTGTAATACAGATCTTCCTCATGGTTCAGGATTCAACTAAATTGTCACCTGATCTGAAGGAGCCCCTCCTGCCTCATCATCCTGATCACAACATCTTGTTATTTTCTTCACAGCTTTCTTTCTTTCTTTTTTTAATGTTTTTTTTTTTCTTCTGAGAGAGAGGGACAGCGTGAGGAGGGAAGGGGCAGAGAGAGGGGGAAACACAGAATCTGAAGCAGGCTCCAGACTCTGAGCTGTCAGCACAGAGCGCGATGCAGGGCTCGAACCCACGGACCACGAGATCATGACCTGAGCCGAAGTCGGACACTTAACCAACTGAGCCACCCAGGTGCACCTTTTCTTCACAGCATTAACCTCGACTGGAAACCATCTTCTTTATTCATATCTTTTTTTGTTTGTTGAGTAGTATTGTGTTGGAAGCTTCATGAAAGCAGTAGTTGTGTCAATCTTGTTTACTTCTGAAACTCTAGTCCGTAAGACAGTGCCTGGCACATAGGTACTCCATTAATCTTTACTAAAAAGTTGATTAAGTGAACAGGAAGAGTGGGCTGAGGGCTTTAATGCTGCCATGAGTTAAGTGAGGTGACATGAGTAGATCCTGAATTCATCTTCTCCCACTGATATACTGAATCTACTACAGCTGTACATGAAACAATGTCTTCTGAAAACAAACACACAAACAGCAACTTAAAAACTGGCAGAGGAAAATTTGAAGTGGTTGCACAGGGCAGCCCAACTGAATCCTAAGGATTGAGCAAGTTGCGTCGATCAGGGCGAGGCTGAAAATTGTGCCCTAAACAAGGAAGGAAGTAACAAGGAGTAAGAGATGGATTATAAGCAGCAAGGGCTCCACTTCCACATACAGAATGAGATTTGGATATCCGGTGTGGTATGATGAATTGAATACTGCAAGAGTAGGACTGGGGTCATAAGACTTTCATTTCTGAGCCAAAAATCAGTCTCTCTCTAGCTTCCTCTTTTGTTCCTGTGCCATTATCTGGAAGCAAGCAGACGTCAATTATTTTCCTCATACCCTGAGTCAAGAGTTTCCACTCTTTTCCATGAAGTCTTGTTTTCACTAACAATCCCCCCCCCACCGCACACACACAAACACTTCTCATGATCAGAAACCCTTTATTCTCCAAATCAGAAGTGGCTCTTTTTGAGCCACATTGAATTACCTACACTGGAAAAAATTGGAACACTGACTTGGTTCTTTGAGGATATAAAAAATCTCTAGTGTTTTTTTAGGTATGGTATTATGTATGATAGATGTGATATTGTGGTTATATTTAAGAAAGAGTGATTGAGGGGCATCTGGCTGGCTCACTAGGTTGAGCGTCCAACTTTGGCTCAAGTCATGATCTCGCAGTTTATCGGTTCAAGCCCCATGCCAGGCTCTGTGCTGACAGCTCAGAGCCTGGAGCCTGCTTCGGATTCTGTGTCTCCCTCTCTCTCCCTCCCACACTCAGGCTCTCTCTCTCTCTCAAAAATGAACATTAAAAAAAAATCAATTCTATATCTATACACTTGCAACAAACATCATGAAAATGAAATTTTAAAAATTTTATTTACAATAACATCAAAAAGAATATAATACTTAGGAGTAAATATAACAAAAGAAGAGCAAATTTATAACTCCTAAAAGTACAAAATGCTATTGAAGGAAATTAAAGAAGTTTCCTTATTCATGATTCATGACTCTTAATATTGTTAAGATGTCAGTTCTCCCTTAATTGATCTGCAGATTCAATGAAAGTCTTACAAGAATATAAGCTGAATTTTTGTAGACATTGACAAGGTGATTCCAAAGTTCATATGGAATTGCTGAAGATGCTGTAGACAAAACAATCTTCTAAAAGAAGAACAAAGTTGGAGGGCTCACACTTCCTGATTTCAAAACTCATTGTGAAGCAAGAGTAATGAAGACACTGTGGTACTGGCGTAAGAAACAAACACAGAGATCAGTGGACGAGAAGTGAGAGTCCAGAAATAAATTCATGTTTCTATGGACAGCTGATTTTGACAAGGATGTCAAGAACATTCAATGAAGAAAGACTAGTCTTTTTAAGATTAAAAAAAAATATTTATTTATTTTTGAGAGATAGAGACAGAATGCAAGTGAGGGAGGGACAGAGAGAGACAGAGGGGAGACGCAGAATCTGAAGCAGATTCCAGGCTTTGAACTGTCGGCACAGAGCCTGACATGGGGCTCGACCTTGGGACTAGGAAGATTATGACCTAGGCCAAAGTCAGATGCTCAACCAACTGAGCCATCCAGGCTTCCCAAAAGACTAGTCTTTTAAACAAATGACACTGAGACACCTGGATTTCCAGATACAGATGAATGAATTTGTACCCTTAACTCAGACTGCATATAAAAATTAACTCAAAATGGATCAATTACCCCTAAATGTAAGAAGTAAAACTATAAAGCTCTTAGAAGAAAGCACAAAAATTACTCCTCATGACCTCTGATCTGGCAATGAATTCTTAGATAAATTACCAAAACCAAGAACGACAAAAGAAAAAAACAAACAATAAACTGAATTTAATCAAAATAAAAACTCTTCTGCATCAAAAGATCATTATCGAAAAGTTGAAAAGAGGGGCGCCTGGGTGGCTTAGTTGGTTAAGCATCTGACTTCAGCTCAGGTCATGGTCTCACGGTTCGTGGGTTCGAGCCCTGCGTTGGGCTCTGTGCTGACATCCAGCTCAGAGCCTGGAGTCTTCTTCAGATTCTATGTCTCCCTCTCTCTCTGATCCTCCCCTGTTCACACTGTCTGTCTCTCAGAAATGAAAAAGAAAAAAGTTGAAAAGATAGCGTACAAAAAGGATAAAATATTTGTAAATTATATATTTGATAATGGTTTAAGATCCAGGATATATATACAGCTCCTATAACTCAGAAAAACAAAGGCAAACAATTCAAGTAAAAAATGGGGAAAGACTTAAATAACTATTTCTCCAAAGAAAATATACACATGCCTGACAAGTACATGAAAAGATGCTCAACATCATTATTCATGATGAACTGCAAAAAAACAAACAACAATTAACACCTGGGGAAAGAATTTAAATAGATATTTCTCCAAAGAAGTATACAAATGGCCAAACAAGCATGTGAAAAGATTCTCAAAAATCGTTGGTCATTAAGGAAATGCAAAAATCAAAACCATAATGAGATACCACTTCACATCCACTAGTATGGCTTTATAGGTATTTTTTTTTACTGTTTTATTTATTTCTAGGAGAGAGAGAGAGAGACAGCGTGAGCAGGGGAGGGTCAGAGAGAGAGAGGGAGTCACAGACTGAAACAGACTCCAGGCTCTGAGCTGGCAGTCAGCACAGAGCCCGACGCGGGGCTCGAACCCACGAACCGTGAGATCATGACCTAAGTGAAAGTCGGACACTTAACCGACTAAGCCACCCAGGCGCCCCTTTATAGGTATTTTTTTAAATGTTTGTTATTTATTCCTGAGAGAGAGAGAGAGAGAGAGAGAGAGAGGAGAGAGCGTGAGCAGGGCGGGTCAGAGAGAGAGGGAGGCACAGAATCTGAAGCAGTCTCCAGACTCTGAGCTAGCTGTCAGCACAGAGCCCGATGTGGGGCTCGAACCCACGAACTGTGAGATCATGGCCTGAGCCTAAATTGGATGCTTAGCCGACTGAGCCACCCAGGCACCTCTAGTATGGCTTTAATAAAAAGAAAAAATAACCATTGGTGAGAATGTGGATAAATAAGAATGCTTAAATGTTGTTGGTGCAAATGTCATATGGTGCAACCACTGTGAGAAACAATTTGGCAGTTCCTCGAAAAGTTAAATGTATAATTACCATATGATCCAGCAATACTACTTCTAGGTACATATGCAAAATAATTGAAAAGGGATGTATAAAACAAACTTTGTTCATAGAATCACTATTCAAATCAACTATATGTCAAGATTGAAATGGAAGACTGCAAACCTGGGTGGCCTTGCCTTGGGAGACATTTTGATCATAAAATATAGTGATAGAGTGGACTATTTACTCTTTTTTTTTTTAAGTTTATTTATTTGTTTATTTAGAGAGAGAGAATGAGCAGGGGAGGCGCAGATAGAGAGGGAAAGAGAGAATTCCAAGCAGGCTCTGCATTGCCAGTACAGAACCCGATGTGGGGCTAGATCCCATGAACCATGAGATCGTGACCTGAGATGAGATCAAGAGGGGTACACTTAACAGACTGAGCCACCCAGGTGCCCCTGAACTAATTACTCTTATTTTTCATATTACATCTATACAATGAGATTATAGTATACCACTGGCATTATTGGTAAAATTATAATACCAGTATTTTTAAAATATTTTTTTACAATTATTTATTTTTAAGAAATAGAGTGAGACCGAGCACGAACAGGGGAGAGGCAGAGAGAGGAGACACAGAATCTAAAGCAGGCTTCAGGCTCTGAGCAAGCGTTCAGCACAGAGCCTGGTGCGGGGCTCGAACCCATGAACCATGAGATCATGACCAGAGCCGAAGTCAGACACTCAATGGACTGAGTCCCCCAGGTGCCCCCATAATACCAATATTGATAGACATGTGGGGAAATTTCGTTAACAGGCTCCTGTGCATACTTCACACTGATTTCTTCAAATGTTAGGCATACATCAGTCCATTACCCCCTTATCCACAGTTTCACGCTCTGCAGTTCCAGTTCCTCAAGGCGATGTCAGAATGCCTACATTACTCTCCTCGCTCCATGTCATCATGTAGGCATTTGATCGTCTCACATCCTCACAGGAAGAGGAAGGGTGTGTACAGTACAATACGCTATTGTGAGAGAGAACACATCCACATGATTTTATTACAACATATTGTTATAACTGTTCCATTTTATGATTAGTAATTGTTGTTAATTTCTTACTGTGCCTAATTTATAAATTAAACTTTACCATAGTTATGTGTAGGGGGAAAAAAAGACAGCATTTATAAGGTTCAGAACTGTTTGTGGTTTCAGGCATATACTGGGGGTTTGGAATATACCCTCCATAAATAAGGATAGGGAGACTACTGTATTCAAGTTTTTATTGTTCTCTCTGTTACATAAATGCTATACCAAATGTAAATAATCAAACAGGTATGATCCTTTTGCTAGAAGGGGTCCTTGGTGAAAAACCATCGAGTGGCTGGTCATATAATAAAGAATATACCCAGCCTTTTTTTTTTTTTATTTCTAAAACATTTTCCAGTCTTTTTTTTTTTTAATGTTTATTCATTTTTGAGAGGTGGGGGGTGCTTGGGTGGCTCAGTTGGTTAAGCAACTGACTTCGGCTCAGGTCGTGATCTCACGTCCGTGGGTTTGAGCCCTGCGTCAGGCTCTGTGCTGACAGCTCAGAGCCTGGAGCCTGTTTCAGAGTCTGTCTCCCTCTCTCTCTGCCCCTCCCCCCTCGCTCTCTGTCTCTCAAAATAAAATAAAGATTAAAAAGAGAGAGAGAGAGAGAGGAGCGGAGGGAAAAGAGAGAAGGAAACAATGGAGCTCGCACGCTCCAGCCTCTCGACTGTAGGCACAGATCCCGATATGGGAAGAGTTTCAGAAACCTTTGTAATATTTTGAAGGATAGGAATCTCTCTGTTATGCTAATGAGGTGACTTCTGGTTGGATTCCTAGATAGCTTCAGGATGGAGGAAGCTGTGCACCAGAACATTCAACCATGTAGTTGGCTGGAGTTGAGTTCAGTCATATAGCCTACAATTTAATCATACATGCCTACACAATGAAATCTCAATTAAAACAAAACAAAACTTCTGCATAGTGAGGCTCCAGGAGCTCCCTGGTTGGTGAACACACTGATGTGCTGGGAGGGTGGCACACCCTGACTTCCCAGGGATAGGAGCTACTGTGCTCAGAACTCTTCCAGACCTTGCCCTATGTACCTCTTCACCTTATTGTTCATTAGTATCCTTTATAATAAAAAGGTAATCATAAGTAGAGCACTTTCTTGAGTTCTGAGAGCGTTCTAGTGAATTTATGAGCCTGAAGGGTACTCAGTCATCAGAACTCCAAATCTGGGGCATCTGGATGGCTCAATCAGTTAAGTGTCTGACTCTTGATTTGAGCTCAGGGCATGATCTCACGGTTCTTGTTAAGGACCTTGCATTTTAACTTGTGGGAGCTGTTGCTAATTCCAGGTAGTTAATGTCAAAATTGAATTGAAATATAGGACTCCAGCTGGTGTCAGAAAATTGGTATTGGATAAAGCAAGGAGAATGCCTTCCTCAGATCTGTAAGTCATTCTAGCAAAGTATGGAACCTGCAGGAAGAGTGGGAACACCTGAAAATGTAGCCAGCTTGCCAGAGTGAGGAAGGACTGGGGACCCCGAGTTAGGACTAGTGTCTGCAGTAAGGACAATCGTGTAGAGACTGTGCTCTTAGCTGTGAAGTTTGGGCAAACTCTGCATAGTTGCTGCCAGAAGTCATTTCATCTCCATGTGGAACATCATCCATTCATAGGAAGGTAGTACTGATGCATGCTACAGCATGGATGAACCTTGAAAACATTATGATAAGTGAAAGAAGTCAGCCACAAAAAGAACACACACTGTGATTCCATTTTTTAATTTAAAAAATTTTTAAAGATTTTTATCTTTCTAATGTTTATTTTGAGAGAGGGAGAGGGAGAGAAAGCACGAGTGTGTGTGTGTGAGCGGGGTAGGGGCAAAAAGAGAGGGGGAGAGAGAGGACCCCAAGCAGGCTCCTCACTGTCGGCACAGAGCCCAACATGGGACTCAAACCCACGAATCCGACTGCAGCTCAGGTCATGATCTCATAGCTCATGAGTTTGAGCTCTGCGTTGGGCTCTGTGCTGACAGCTCAGACCCTGGAACCTCCTTCAGATTCTGTGTATTCCTCTCTCTCTGTCCCTCCCATGTTCACACTCTGTCTCCCTCTCTCTAAAAAAATTAATAAACATTAAAATTAGGTTTGGTGATAGTTACACATTATCTGCAAACATACTAAAGTATGTTTGAAATATACACTTTAAATGGGTGAATTTTATGGTATATGAACTATATCTTAATAAAGCTGTCATTTAAAAAAGGGTGGTTTCTTATAAATACATGCTGGAAAAGCTATAGATGAAATATAAGGTGTCTGGGATTTGCTTCAAAAGAATCCGTAGGGGATGGGGAGGGGAACAGAAGAAATAAGACTGGCCATAAGTTGGCAATTAATGTAGGTGGGTGCTTGGAGGCTCATACTTTCTCTCTACAGTTGTATGTGTTTGACATTTTTCAAAAGAGGAAACAAAGAAGAATTCCATACAATGTCTGGCTCACTCATAAAAGAGGGGACTATCACCTCCTTTGATGAGCTGTTATTTAGAGGCCCTACCCAGTACCTGCAGATCAGGGAGATGAATTATTGAGGGGAATCTGAGAGGCATGGAAGCCATAGATTGTGGAGAGTCCGCAAGTGCAAAGGCTGGTTTGGGCCAGGGCAGCTCAGCGCCCCCAGCCCTCATGGACAAACCTCAGGCCAGGCTGACTGTGGTGGTAGAAGTTGAGAGTGGAAGAAGATCAGGTAAGAAGGCCTTACACATTCACTCTTAGAGATTATGCAGCCTGGGGGAGCCTCCTGGGAGAGGGGAAGGGCGAGGCCATTTTACAGCTTTAGCTGCTGCAGAAGCTTTTTGAGGAAGCGCTGCCTCTCAGGGGCTCTGATCCTGTGCTCATTAGTATTCTAGGTTAGGAAATTGAGGCCAAAGCTGAGGGCCGGACTTAGGCATGACAGTTGATATACAGTCCATCCTTCCAGGCCCTGAGGAGACCTGTTGTCCCACACTGCTTCCGAAGGGGCCCCAGAGCATCTGCCTGGTTCCACTGGAGACTCTAGACACTCAGGTAGAAATGGGATGGGGTGTGGGTGAGTCCCTGGAAGATGGGAGTGACAATGCTGAGCCTAGTCTTCCCCCACAGGAACAATGCATCACCTTTGACAGAGTCCTGAGCTCTGATGCTGCTCAGGTAGGGGGTGTTGTAGGGAGAAGGGAGGTGGATGGGAATCCTTAGGCTTCTGGATCCTGGAGTGCTAAGTGTTTCCCAAGCCCATTGCTCAGGCGGGCTGGGTCAGGGCACTTGAGACCAGAGGATATGCCTGTGTCCCCTGCAGGAGGCTGAGCAGGAGCTGCTAGCACGAGTCCAGTCCACACTAGGCTTGGTGGCCCAAGGGTATAGTGTGTCCCTACTGCTTCGGGGTCGGGAAACAGAGGCACCTCGGCTTGTACCTCAGGTGAGTCCCAGAGGAGCCACCAGGCATAGGTCTCATGAAACTCAGGTCTTGTTTCCTCCAGGATACCTTTGAGAAACTTCCCTCCCCCCCACCCCCCCAACGGACTTGGTTCCCCTCCCTGGGATTCCTGTAGTGCGCTGATGTTTTCCCAGGGTCAATTTAGGCAGCTATTGAGAGGTCGGGGAAGGTGGGAGGTTGGGCCCATAGGGTGAGGGTCAGTATGGGGTGGTGTGCAAAGATGAAATATCCAGCGAGGTCTAATGTTCACAGTTTTTCATAATACTGATAATAAACTTGAAAGCTTTGTTTTCAGGGCTTCATCAAAATGTCCCCAAATCAAAATAGCTGCCTCAGACCTTGACATAGGCCCCTGCCTTAGGAAACAGCAGGTCTCACTGAAAATGCCTGCTCCTTTGACTGGCTGGCTGTGAACTGTGAGAGCTGGGGCTGTTTGTGTCTTGGACACTGTGTCCCTCTGTCCGCAGCACCTAGCATAGAACCAGGCACAGACTTCACCCTCACGAAAATGTTGAAGGACAGATCCTGTCTCCCTCCCTACTGAACCCCATTTTCCACTTTAGCTGTTGCAGATGCTGTTTGAGGAAGCTCTGCCCCACAGGGGACTTGTTCCTGGAGTTACCACCCTTAGCCTGGTGCAGGTGAGACCCTACAGGGAGGGGAGCCCTGGAAGCCAATGGCACTGCTGTGGAAAGGGCCTGGGGCTCAAGGGCAGCCAGAAGAGATCGAGTCTAGCCTCACCAGCCACTCACCAGTGTGGGCTTGCCTCTCTGAGGTTTCCTATTTCCTGTCTGAAATGGCTGAATGTTGATCCACGGAGCCCCAGCGGGAGGATCATGTGAGACGAAGTCTGGGAAAGGCTGTTTATAATTGGTGCTGTGCTTGTGTGATTGCAGCTCAGCCCCAGTGGAAGGATTCGGGACCTGCTCTCTCCAAGGAGAGAGAACCTAACAGTGCTAGATGTGTCCCCTCTGGGCTTGTGAGTGTCCAGGGCCCAATGGGATCTGAGGGTGCTTGCCTTAAGGCAGGGCTGACACCCCCAAACCCAGCTGTGAGTGGTTTCTCCCCATTGCGATGCAGAAGGGAAGCTCTGCACTTGGGGCTGTGCTAATCACGCCTGCTCACCCCATTCCCTGTAGCCAGTATCCCCAGCCCTCTCACTCTTCTTACCTTATCCATCTACATCTCTTCAACTCAGTCATTACCATCTGGGTGATGTGAGCATCTCGCTGAGCAGAACTTCAGCTTCTCCATCTGTGAGATGTGAGCAATCCTAGCCAGCCTGTTTCCCTCACTGGGCAGATGACAGGAGAAAAATTATCATGAAGATGAAAGGCTTTCAGGGGATATACTGAGCTTAGAACCTTGGGGATGGTTCTTATAGGCTCTTGGAACCCCAATGGACTCCCCATGCAGAGGTTCTGGGGGGCTGGACAGAACTCTGGTGCTTAGGTGTTGAGCTCAGCCTCCCCGTCCTCCAGGGTGGTGGAAGATGCCAGTGAGGTGGAGGTGTCTGACTCAAGAGCTGCCTCAGAGATGTACTTACAGGCTGCAGGGGATGAAGGCAGGTGAGGACAGGAGGGCACCTGTCACCCCCACCCCTATCCCTTAGGCATTTGGCCTCATCCTACCCTTTCCTCCACAGGGCCTGCTCTCTGCTCACCATCACCATGTCCTGCCTAGGGCCTGACCCTCCTGAGGGGCCTGGGACCCAGGGTATGTGGCGAGGGGCCTTGAGGATCCTGCAGATCCCCAGAGTCCTGTAAGTCTGATGGAATTCTCTGACTGCTTTAGGGAGCAGGGTGGGGGTGTGGCTGAAGTATGGATGCAGAGACCCAGGGCAGCCTCAGAGTCTGACACGGTGAAGGACTCCCTCCTTTAGCATTCCTTACAAGGCAGGTCTACTGGCAACAGACTCCTTCAGCTTTTATTAACCTGGGAATACCTTAATTTCTCACATGTTCTTGAAGGATAGTTTTGCCAAATATGGAATTCTTAGTTGACACACTTTTTTCCCAGCATTATTTTTATTAATTAATTAACTACTTTATTTATTTATTTAAATGTTTTTATTTATTTCTGAGAGAGAGAGAGAGAGAGAGAGCATGAGCAGGGGAGGGTCAGAGAGAGAGGGAGACACAGAATCTGAAACAGGCTCCAGGCTCTTAGCTGGTTGTCAGCACAGAGCCCAACGCGGGGCTTGAACCCACGAACTGTGAGATCATGACCTGAGCCGAAGTTGGATGCTCAACCAACTGAGCCATCCAGGTGCCTCAAGCATTATTTTTAGAGAGAGAAAGAGAAGAGGCAGGGGAGAGAGGGAGAGTGAACAAGAGGTGGGGGGGAGAAAAACCTAAGCAGGTTCGATGCTGATGTGGGCCTCCATCCCACTACCCTGGGAAAGCAAGAATTGGACATTCAACCGACTCAGCCACCCAGGCACCCCCCCCTTCCAGCACTTTAACTGTGTCATCTCACTGCCTTCTGGTCTCCATAATCCCTTTCTTTCTTTCTTTCTTTCTTTCTTTCTTTCTTTCTTTCTTTCTTTCTTTCTTTCTTCCTTCCTTCCTTCCTTCCTTCCTTCCTTCCTTCCTTCCTTCCTTCCTTCCTTCCTTCTTTTTAAGATTTTATTTTTAAGTAATCTCTACGTCCAACTTGGGGCTTGAACTCAAGTCGCACGCTCTACTGACTGAGTCAGCCAGGCACCCCTGGCCTCCACAATTTCTGATGGGAAATTGGTTTTCATTCTTACGGAGGATCACTCATATATACCAAGTTGCTTCTCTTATGCTGTCTTCAAGATTCTCTCTTTGGCTTTAAAAAAATTTTTTTAATAGTTTATTTATTTTTGAGACAGACAGAGACAGAGCATGAGTGGGGGAGGAGCAGAGAGAGAGGGAGACACAGAATCTGAAACAGGCTCCAGGCTCTGAGCTGTCAGCATAGAGCCTGATGCGGAGCTCGAACCCATGACCTGTGAGATCTGACCTGAGCCGAAGTTGGACGCTTAACCTACTGAGCCACCCAGGCACCCCTCTCTCTTTGGCTTTTGATAGTTTGGTTATAATGTGTCTTGGCATGAATCTCTTTGAATTTATCCTTCTTGGAATTTGTTGATCTTCTGGGATGTATAGATTCATGTATTTCATAAATTTGGGGAATTTTTGAGCATTATTTCTTCAAATATTCTTTCTGCCCCCTTTTCTCTCTCTTCTGCCTCTGAGATTCCCATTTTCCGTGTATTTACACACTTCATGCATCCACTGGTCCCTTAGGCTCATTTTCTTTCATTCTTTGTTCTTTCTGCATAATTTTATTTGACCTATTTTCAACTTTGCTGAGATTCTTTCTTGTGCCCACTCAAATCTGCTCTCTAGGGAATTTATGATTTCAGGTACTATTCAGTTCCAGAACTTCTACTTGGTTCCTATTTATTTTATTTTATTTTATTTTATTAAGTAAGCTATACACCCAACATGGGGCACAAACTCAACCCCAAGATCAAGCCTCGCATGCTCCACTAAGCCCGCCAGGCACCCCTCTATTTGGTTCCTTTTTTATAACTTCTGTTCTTCTTTTGGTGTATTCTATTCATTGAGACATCATTATCTTGATTTCTTTTACTTTTCTGAGCATATTTAAGACAGTTGGATTAAAGTCTTTGTGTAGTAAATCCAATGTCTGTGCTTCCTCAAAGACAGTTTCTATTAACTTTTTTTCCCTGTGGGTGGGCCATACATCTTTCTTTACATGCCAGATATTTTTTTTGGTTGGAAACTGGCCAATTTGAGAATTTTTGTTTTTGTAAAGATTATATTCTTTATTATGTTGGCCTCTCTCTCTCTCTCTCTTTTTTAATGTTTTATTTATTTCAGAGAGAGACAGCAGAGTGAGCAGGGGAGGGTCAGTGAGAGAGGGAGCTAGCTGTCAGCACAGAGCCCAACGCGGGGCTCGAACCCACGAACCGTGAGATCATGACCTGAGCCCAAGTCGGACATTTAACCGACTGAGCCACCCAGGCGCCCCTATTATGTTGGTCTCTTACTTCTCCATTTCTTTTCCTTAGGCTCTGACATTTTTAATATGACAGTGTGGGAATTCTAAAAAAGGATTCCCCATCCCCTTCAGGGTTTGCATTGTTGCTTGCTGTGGGCTGCAACCATCTCTTTGCTTACTTACCTTTCCAAACAAGTCTTGCAAAGACTGGGTTTTTTGTTGCCACTGAAGTCTCCATTCTGTTATCTCAGTGGTTAGCTAGTGACCTGACATTGAATTCCTTAACCTACTAGGACCAAAACATTCTTTTTACAGGAAGAAAAAGAGGAAGAAACAAAAGAAAATTTAAAAATCTCCACCTTTCCATAAATTGGCTCTGTGTTGGGTCAGTCCTTCCGTGCTTTGCCATTCAATTACATCTCTGCCTTAGCCTCACTTCCTGCTTGCACTGAGCTTATAAAACCAGAGATGAAAACTTGCAATCTTCTCAGGTCTTTTCTCAGCCTGGATCCTGCCCTAGACATGTGTGTGGCTTTCTAGAGTCCTCGTGCATGGGGAAATTTTCCTTATCCTCCAACCCCTCCAATCTGACTCCCCAACTTTTCTTCCCAGTCTTTCCATGGACCTGTTGTTTGTCCCAACTGTTATTTTTGCTTGTTCTTTCATCTTTCAGTGTTTTGAGGGATATCATCTAGGATAGCTGCTCTGCCCTGAGAGAGTTCTAAGGGAAACAACAGGAAGCCCTTTTTGTCAGTCCTTTGGGGGAAACCCTAGAAAGTCAAAACAAGGAACAGTTCTTTGGGAACAAAATCTGCTCTGCTCCCTCCAGAGCTAAGCATCCCCACCAGAAGTGTGGGCTGTTGTCTTGAAGACCACCTCTGTGCTGGGAAGGAGGTTCGGACTAGGTTAAGTTAAAATACCACAAAGATCTCAACATATTTAAGTTGCCTTTCTCCTGGGTAAGCATTCACTTGCTTGCTGTAAACCTTTCACTGTCCCCCAGAGTGCCAGTAAGGTTGATTCTGACCGTTTTTTCCACATGCTGCTGGAAAAGGACAGATCCCTACAGATCCACACTCTGCCATTTTTGTGGATGTCACCTTGCTTTGCCATTTTAAATTGGGTGATTAGGGGCACCTGGCTGGCTCAGTCGGTAAGGCATGAGACTCTTGATCTCAAGACTGTGAGCTCAAGGGGCGCCTGGGTGGCTCAGCTGGTTAAGCGTCCGACTTCAGCTCAGGTCATGATCTCATGGTTCATGGGTTTGAGCCCCGTGTCGGGCTCTGTGCTAACAGCTAGTTCAGAACCTGGAGCCTGCTTCAGATTCTGTGTCTCCCTCTCTCTCTGACCCTGCCCTGCTTGTGCTGTCTCTCTCTCTCTCTCTCTCTCTCATTCTCAGAAATAGCCCTGCTGGGATTCTCTCTCTCTCCTTCTCTCTCTCTGCCCCTCGATCACTCACTCATGCCCCCCCAAAATAAAAATAAATAAATAAAGCATAAATAAATAAATAAATAAATGTTCTGGATACAAGTCCCTTATCAGATAGACAAATTTAATTTTGCACCATGAGAATATATTATTTGTGTAGCTAAAATATAATAAAATAAAATAAAGATCTATGCAAGGTTGCAAATCTGCATGGTGGTGCACCAAAATTCTGGAAATAGTCAACCTTTCCATTAGATGTGATTTAGGTCAATTTCTTTCCCCATCCACCAAAGGACACCTCCTTTCTTCCTCTCTCCTTCTGGCAGAGATTGTCCCCTGCTTCAGGTGTTGGCTGGTAAGGTTATTGGTGAGGAGGTAGAGGGCACTCTGCCTTGGATCGTGTCACAGCTCCTGGAAGGAAACAACTACACTGCTCTTCTTCTTCGCCTGGACCCTCAAGGTGGCCTGGGGAAGGGTGTGGGGTTCTTTAGGAAGCTCTGGCATCTAACTTATGCCACCCTCTCACCAACAGAGCTGCAGCCCCCACCCCAGTACAGAGAGAACCTGACTTCTGGGAGGGTCAAGATTCAGACAGGTCTGAACCTAGACAGTATGGCTAGGATGCCAAAGTCTGGAGAGACAGGGCTGATCATAAAAGCAACTCCTTGCCCTTCAGAGGCTTTCAACAGTTTACCAAGCATTTTTACACTAGTATCTTTTATTCCTACCACAAACCCATGAGACACTTCTAAGTTAGGGAGGGAGGCTTAATTTATAAATGAGGAAAGGGAGGATCAGAGAAGGGAAAGAACTTGCCTATTTTCATACACTCATTAAAAATCAGGCCTCTTTGAAATGATATGAGGTCAGAGACTCAGGGGAGGTCAAGTGGAGGGTATAGATCAAACAAGAATGGGTGTGAGTTGATAATTATTATTATTTTTTTTTAAATCTTTTTTTTTTTTAATTTTGATAGAAGGAGAGAGACAGCATGAGCAGGGGAGGGTCGGAGAGAGAGGGAGACACAGAATCTGAAACAGGCTCCAGGCTCTGAGCTGTCTGTCAGCACAGAGCCCGACATGGGGCTCGAACCCACGAGGGTCAGGTCATGACCTGAGCTTGACCGACCGAGCCACCCAGGCGCCCCTGTGAGTTGATAATTATTGAAGCTGGGTGAAAAGTAGATTGAATTTCCTATACTTTGTATATGTTTGAAATTGTCTATAATAAAAGTAAAAACGAAAGAAATTAATAAGCACAAAATTAATAAGCACACATTAATTTGGCTAACATAGTCCCAGACCACGTACCGTGCCAGGCCTTATGGAGTGAGGAAGAAAAATGCCCTTAAGGATAAAGCAGTGAAGGACAAAAGTATGTTTATCCATAGGCCAGTTTGGTATCCTGATTAAGGGCACAGGCTTTAATGTCAGACAGAATTGGGCTTAAGTTTCAGCTCTGCCACTCACCAGGGAGTTGCTTGACCTCTCTGAGCTCCATTTGCTTCATCTGGAGAATGTGGGGGTAGGCAGAACAAACTAGAGTTGCTGCTTCTTTGGAGTGTTGTGTGGATAAAAAGAGGCGATCCACGAAAAGCCTTAGCACAGTGCCACCAAGCCCATGTAAAAGCCTGATAGGTGTTAGCTATTTTTGTAAATAGTATTAATAAAACTTAAAAGTATTACAGGCAGTGTACTTTGAAGTCCAGAAGGAGTGATTCACCCTGTCTCCCCTTACTAGGTGGCTCCCTGAGCTTGCTCAAAGCTGCTCTGTTGGGGGCTGCAGGAAGGAGGATGCAAGTGAAACAGGTGAAGCCCACCCTGTGGGATGCAGTAGAAGCGGCACGTGCCCGCCGGGCTAGCCTGAAGAGCCTGCGTTCAGGCCTCCTTGGGGACACCCTGACAGAAAGGGGGCTCAGCCAGCTGGGCAGGGCACTGCGAGAGTTGCAGGTAAGCAAGGTGAGGCCTGGAGATGCTGAAGACAGCAATGGTTGGAGCCTACTTGAAACCATCTCTCCATAGGTTGTAAAAGCCTGGAGCCAGTGCCTAGGAAGCTGGATGCTCAAAGGGGTCAAAGCCAAGGCTGTGGGGCTCCCAGAACTGCAGGTATGTTTTCTGGTTCAACCTCTTAGGAGCCCTATAGATGTCTGCCTTCGTTTCTGTTTACAGAGCACTGTGAGGAGTCCCTTTCTTTGTTCACTAATTTATTGATTTCCAAACATTTTAGTGACTTCTCACTATGTCAGAGATAGTGCCATGTAGGACCTGGAAAATCCCTCATGGAATTCGCAGTCTTCTGGACAGAAGCAATTATAACACCATGATTAGTGCTCAGAAGGCCTTATCAACACAGGGTTCTGTGGGGCATCTAGTTTAGTCTTGGCAAGAGAGGAAAGGATCACTTCCTGGGGGACGTTGATTTCTGAAGGAGGTAGCCAGCAAAGATGAGTGAAGAACACACATTCCAGGCACAGAAAATAATAGGCCAAGTGTTGGAAGTAAGAGCTTGATCTTTTTCGGGGACTGCAAGCAGGTCATTTTGCTGTAGAATAGTTTGAGGAAGAGTCAAGAGAGAAGGAATGAAGAGATTAAGTAGAGGCCAGATCATCTCAGGGTCCCTGAGATAATCAAAGGTAGTAGAGGTACAAACACCCAAGTCCTTAGTTTCAATACAGTGTTTTTGCATCTGCTTAGGATGCATAGCCTCTTCTGTGCAGAAGGGGGTGCTGTCTTCCAGGACTTGCCAAAGAGTGGCTGGAATGCTGCTCCTGTTCACCTTCTCCTGGTCCTTCCCTTTTCAGTTACTTACAACTTGCTTTTACAGCCCTGAGCTTTGGGACTTAGGCATGTAAGCTCCCATTTATTGAGCAGTGTCTGCCACTACTCAGGGCTTCGGGTGCCGTATCTCATTTCATGCTCTCTACGTTTAAAAAAAATTTTTTTTTAATGCTTTATTTTTTGAGAGGAAGAGGAAGGGGCAGAAAGAGAGGGAGACACAGAATCTGAAGCAGGCTCCAGGCTCTGAGCTGTCAGCACAGAGCCCAACATGGGACTCAGACCCAAGAACTGTGAAATCACGACCTGAGCCGAAGTTGGACGCTTAACCCACTGAGCCACACAGGCGGCCCTCTACAACTTTTTAAAAAATATTTTTTTTTTGTTTTTTGTTTTGTTTTTTTGAGAGAGAGAGAGAGAGCAGGAGAGGGGCAGAAAAAGAGGAAGACAGAGGGTCCAAAGCAGGCTCTGTACTGACAGCCGATGCAGGGCTTGAACTCACAAACCCTGAGATCATGACCTGAGCTGAAGTTGGATGCTCACTGACTGAGCCACCCAGGTACCCCTCTACAACTTTTAGCAGTTCCATTTTACAGATGAGGACATGGATTCAAAAGATTAGAAACCTGCCTGAGATCATACAGCTGAGGAAAGGAGGGGCAGGGACCCTGATCTGTCTAATTTCAAAGTCCTGAGCTTAACGCATGCAATCCTAGGAGGAAGGGGATGGAATTCCCATTCTTAATATATTCTCAGCAGGTGATAGATTCAACAGCAAGCCACAGGCCAGGCTTCCAGGGAGAGCCCAAAGGTGGGTTTGGGGCTTGGGGTGGAGCTGGGTGTCTTCTCCACCTTTGGTGGGCTTAATTGCATTTTCCTCCAGTGGTAGGAATAACAGCATCTCTAGGACCTGGGCTCCGCCAAAATTATCCTCCAAGGGACTCTGAGGAAGAGGTAATACCTCATGTACCCCAGACCAGCTGGAAACTCTTGGGGGACTGAAGAGTTGCAGAGCGCAGCTAATAGGTCTACTGCTTATGTGCCCCATCATCAGGGACAAATATGGAGCTTCTGACAAAAGAGGACCTGGCGGACTATGATTCCTGAGAGAGGGGCATGGGAAGGCTGTTTTCATAATGGGTCACATTAGGGGTATTGGATCCTTAAGGCCTCCATGGCACCTATTTGCAGAGCCAATACCTCTCCTTTCTCCCATGGCCTCCAAGTCTCTGTCCAGGCTATAGGCTGTTACAGGCCAGTTAGGTCCCGGATGTAGTTGTAAGAGCAGCCCTGGTAGTGGGGTTCTGTTGCTAAGTTTGGCCCTGTGTCCCAAGGCTGTGGCACACACAGGCTTCTGGCTGAGCCTAGACTAATGCCACCTAGGCCTGGCACGCCCCAGATGTGGCCCTGCAGTTCTTCTTGGCCCAGGCACGGAGGAAGAGACTTCAAGAACAGCACCAGATATGGATCCAACAGGAACTGAAGCATTTGGAACAGGAGGAGAAAGAGGTGGCACATGACCAGGTCAAAGGCCTGGTGGCTGGAAAGGAGGTAAGGGAGGGTCAAGTAGGGGACTTGAGGCTTCTTCTAATTGGTCCAGGCACTGTACTGGGGGCTGGGATCCAGCCTCAGTCACAACAAACTGGGCCATACCCTCTTTCATGGTCCTCATAGCTTCATGGGGAACAGATGTAGCAATTTTCAGGGCTAAGTGCAGTGATATAGGAGGTTAGGGGCTTCTTGTGGGAACAAAGAAGAGTGCCTGACTCAGGCTGGTGAGGAGCAAAGATGGCATCTAGGGTGAGACTTGAAAAACAAATCGGCCAGAGGAATTCGCTAGCCTGAATTCCACGTGGGCAGTTCATGCTCATTACATAGGGGCACTGAATAAATACACTTGTTTGCACAAATTAGAAATCAAAACTTGTGTGCGTGAGGGGATGGAAGGATATGTTCTGGGAGTCATAGTCTATGAGTAAGGGTTCAGAGGGAAGCAACAGCAAAGTACAGTGTGGGTATTGCAAATTGTCCATCTGGTGGGGCCGGCAAGTACATGGTCAGAGGTAAGACCATGGTAAAGACACCAGTGTGTGCCATGCCTCTGAACTTGGACTTTACCCTAAGAATGACAGTGAACCATTGGAGGGCATGTGTCATCTCAGTTGTGTCCCTCATTAGCCATGCAAACTTTGACAGGTTAGGTCACCTCTCTGATCCACAGTTTCCAAATCTAACTACCAGGAGAAACAGAGGTGGCGCCAGGAGCAGACACTCTGGAGACTTCAGCTGGAGGCCCTTCAGGAAGAGCGAGATGCTGCATAGCAGGACCTCATAGCCCTGTATGACCTGCACGTGCAGGCTGCCCGGGCTCGGACATGCCACACACTGCAGGTCAGTGGGGACAGAAGGCAGGCCTTGAGATGGTTCCAAGGCTGACTGACTGACAGGCATCTCTGAATCTGGGCACAGGTATTTCGAGCCTGGCGAGGGCTGTGGGAGGAGCAAGCCATGACCACAGAGCATCACCACCGCAGCCTGCTGGCTGGTATCCTGCAAGACACGCTCAGACTGGCCACACAGAACCAGGAGCTCCAAGCCCAGAACCAGCAGCTTCAGCAGGATGTAGACTAGGCTGGGGCCAGTCTTACTGGATTGATGCCCTGGGGAGAGGTCTGGTGATCAGTAATCCTTCAGGGACAGCTTCCTCTCTCTTCAGGGTCCCAGAAGGGAGGGGGAGCTGGTACGCAATAACCATGCTTTCACTATGGCTAATGAATGGTACCACTAGCGAGGTCTTGTTGTGTCACTCCCTGCTAAGCGCCTAATATCCACCACTTCATTTTAGCCTTTTCCACTACTCTAGGTAGTAGTACGTGCCACTTGATCCTCATTTCAGATAAGGCAACTAAAGCTAGGAGAGGTTAAGTAACTGTCCGAGGACAGTCCACCAATAAATGACAGAACCAGAATTGAAATTCAAGTCTGTTAGAACTATAGTTCTACACTGCACGTTGCAGTGGTTCACAAGCTGAAGTGTGCATCAGAATCACTGAGAGCTTATTAAAGAAAAAAGAAAAAAAAAAAAAAAAGATTCCGAACCCCCTACTCAGATTCTTCAGTAGGTCTGCAGTTTTTTTTTAAGCTTACTAGGTATGCTCCCACAGGAACAAGGCCTGATGTTCCTCTGGCTATGAGAAGAGATGAGAGGCAGGAATATCAGGGAGGGAACTAGAGGAAAAAAGAATCAAAACCATATTGAATCCCTGAGTTTTCTAGCCTAAAACTTGGTTTGTCCTGCCTGGCCCAGGACCTTCTATTTCCAAGAATCCCTCCAAATTCTCCAGGGCCCAGGTTTTGTGCTTCAGAGAAATTTTAAAAATTGTGACAGAACAGTCTCCTCTCCACTCCTCAAAGGAAATAATGCTCCTGGCAATGGCTAGAAGTCTTTTCTCCTAGTCTATCGGTTACCCCAAGATGAAGACCTTCAGGGCACCAGGGGAACAAAATTCTGTTCGAGAGAAGCCATGCAACAAAGATAACACAGGACAATCACAGCCAATTGCAGGAACCACTGCACCCCAGAACATTTTATTCAGACCTTATTGCTTACAGTTAGAGAGACACTGATTGAACTACACCAAATATCCCTGTGCCTGGTGCCAGGTCACTCTTTTTAGAGCTTCCCTAAGCTGTTGAGAGCTGGGACACTGCTAGACAGGGGCAGGACCCAGAGTGAGAAAAATGGTACCTCCTAGGAGCTGTAGAAGGGACAGTGGGTTTTGAGAGGGCCTTTGGGGTGAGGAGAGAGGTCAGGAGTGTAGCCTTAAGCCAAGGCCCAGCGGCAACATTCCCTGAGATGAGTCAAGCTCCAGCCCTCTCTGGGGTCTCCAGGAAAAGGCTGGGTGTGTGTGGAGAGCAGCGCTGTTGAGGGAGCAGGGGGCAATGTCTCCAGGTGCCACTGGAGCAAGGGGAGTTTGGAAGAGTAGCCTGGATGACGGGTGTATAATCTATGGCAGTTGGGCTTTCCTGCATTATAGTTGAGGTGGATAGCTCTTCTGGGGGAGTCACGTACCACAGGGGGTCTGGAGTAGCCAGTACCAGGGCAATGGGTCTGCTGGGGTGACCACAGGAGGCAAGGAAAGCCAACTATTGCCTGCACCCCACTTGAAGCAACTGCATTCATGCAGGATGACGTGGAGATCCACTGGGGAGGAGTCACTTCTAAGGCCGGGGTATTCATGCTCTCCCATTTCTTTATTCTAGAAGAACCTTGGGGCAAATCCAGTTTTCACGTTTCCTGGGGTAACCTTTCCTCCACCCACCTCCAGAGACTAACCTGGCTGCTCCCACTTCCCCAGCGTTTGTCACAAGGCACTTGTTACGGGGCTGGCTGCTGAAGAAGGGTGGGGAGGCCTCGGAGGTGGCACCCAATCTACAGGGTCAGGAGTCCTGGTGGAGGTGGTCAGGGACTAGCGGCTGCCATAGTACAGGCGCACAGCCAGGCCAATGAGCAGCGTGGCCAGGAAGAAGGCAGCTGTGAGCTGCAGCCGCAGCAAGGCTGCTGAGAGCACGGCGTTGACCACCAGGGAGCAGGACACAACGAAGAGGCGTGTGATGCTGCTGCCGTGCTTCATGACTGCTGACATAAGCAGTCCATTTAGCGCCTGGCTCAGCACCACAAGCGCTGCCCAACCAGAGAAACCCTCCAGGAGGCCGGGGCCAGGGCCGCCACCTGCATGCAGACCCAGATTCAGGAGCACACCAAAAGTGTAGAGGAAGAGGTTCTGAAGTGCTAGAGGCAGCCGCTGTCGCTTCATGAGCAGCTCTGTGTACACGGACGACAGGCCCGAGATGAGGCAGTACAAGATGAGAAGCAGTAGTCCCAGTGGAGTGATATGCAGGGACATGGGGCCAGCAGCAGCTGCTGGCAGGGGGCCAGAAAGGGTGCTTCCAGGGTCTTGGAGACCACCAGCTGCATAGCAGACCCCTGCTGCCATCAGCAGCAGCAGTGCCAATCCCTGGCGTGCAGAGAGGCGGTGCCGAAGACAGAGGCAGTAGAACAGGGCCGTGCTTCCAATCTTGAGATTGCTCAGCACCTGGTAGGTGCTGGGGTCCATGTAACGTTGAAGATAGATCACCAGATTGTTGTTAGCGCCATAGAGAAGGGCTGATATCGCAAAGGGGGCAGCCTGGCGCCATGGAGGGGCCCCCTGAGGCCATGCTTGCCAGCCCACCATGAGGGAGAAGGCGCACAACAGTAGCTTGGTCAGCTCAGTCAGCAGCACAGCTGAAGAGGGCCGGAAGGGCACTCTGCCGTTCACATGGCACAGTGCCAGCAATGGGGCATGGGCACCATACATGGCAGTGGACAGGAGTAGCATCAGGGTCCAGCGGGCCTGCCTGGGACGGCCCAGGCTTGGCATACCCCCGTCCTCTACACTCATGCCCAAACCAGACCCTGGGTGGCCTATGTAGCTAGCAAGGGGACAGGGGGGATTACAAGTTTGGGGAAAATCGGTATGGAGCCGGCTCGTAGGAGGGAGGAGCCATGGTACATTGCTAAAGAGAATACTGAAAATCGGAGTCAGCTCCAAACCCCACAGTCAGGGCTGGAAGAGGAAGGGGTCGGTGGCCCTAAATGCCACAGTCTTGAGACCAGTCCCATGGGGTTAAGGAGGGGCGTCCAGACTACTGGCTGATAAGCCACTGTTCACCTTTTGCAAGGAGAGCAGGAATGAAAGCTGTGGACAAGCTGGAGATAGCAAATGGGTGATGGCTGGGGAAGCCAGATATGGTGTCTGTGGTTGAAAGGCCTCTACCTGTAGACCCAAGATGGTCATCCTTCCTCCCCCATGGGATCCAGAGCTAGTCGGGCCCCTTGCGCAATGACCGAAGATAGTCCCTCAACGTCTTCTCCACATTAGGCACAGCATATGCTTGAGCTGCGTAGATCCCAGTGCAGGTACCCACAGCAAAGCCCAATACTGCTGATGCCCTCAGTTTTGCCACCACATAGCCGGCTAAGAAGCCCTTGAGGAATGGGGAGGACAAGAGTGAGCCATCCTGTGGAGGAAAATGCAGAAGGAAACTCAGCCAGGGTCTCTCTTCTCTAACCAAGAGCTACTCAAGCTGGCCTTAAATCATCCCACCACCTTCTCCTTACTCTGGAAAGCTGCAGTATTCTCTCCAAAGATTCTGGAGGCAGAAAAAGAACCTAGGAGTCCTGATCACACAATCTCAGAACCCTGGGGGTTAGAAGGCTCCAACCACAGAACCCTACCACCACAAAGCTACAGAAATGTCCCTGTGGAATCTGATCCCTCCTTGTTTCTCCAACCTTACTTCCTAGCATGCTCCCCCATTACTGGAGCCAAATTAAACTACTTTCATCCCTCCTGTTCATCATGCTACTTCCAACTTGAAGAACTTTGCGTATGTTGTTCCATCTGCCTGAAATGATCTCTCCTCCCCTCTTTATCTAGTTACCTTCTATTTAAGATACCAGTTCAAGTATCATTTTCTTAGAGAAACTTTCCTTGGGGTCACAGAAAACAGGCACTCAACAACCATTTGTTGAGTAAGTCTCTACCACCCCTTCAAAAGCATACTGGGCAATGAAGCCCAAGGCCAGAGGTGGAGGGGTGGGTGGAATAGAGTGGTGGGCAGATGCAGATTTACCTGGCCCACACCACTGTTGACTTCGTCTTCCACACGCTGCTGCAGGCGTTCCAGCTGGTTCTTGAGAAATGCCAGGTCTTTAAGCTTGGGCAGAGAATCCTAGAACAAGAGAGAAGCTGGCTCGAACAGGTTAACCTGGCCCAATTCTCTGCTCAGGTCTATCAGAGGCTGGGTGGTTTTTTAATAAAAACTTCCTGAGATGAAAGGCACTGAGAAGTAAAGAATTCACACGGGGACCAGGGAGGGGGTGACAGATGGGATCTGCATCTGTGACAACCCTTTCGGAATTTTATAAAGCAAGCAATGTGTAGTAAGACAAGAGGAAATGCTAGGAGACATTCAATTAGATTTATCAGGCAAGCACTACCGAATAGACTATTGGTAGCAATGGGTCCGTCTTGTCTACTGTGTCCTCAGGCCTCACACAGGGACAGGTAAGCACTTAGTAAATACGTGGATGATACCGAACTTCCAAACCAGTGGTGAATTATGGCCTGAGGCAGTACCCTGGAAGCTCTGGGGTAAATCTGATTTCTGCCTGGGCTTCTTCCTCTTTTCCCCCAAGGACATCCGAAGCTACATGTGTGATTGAATGCGCTGGCTGGGGTTGGGGTGGGGTGGCTGTCTGCAGGAGTGTTGGTAAATGAACTATGTGGTTTTAATCGCGTAGAAGTATAAAATTCAGTGTATGCCCAAGGGAATTTAAATGAGAATACAGGGTCCGTGCGGCTTGGAAACATCATGTCCGTAAGACAGGAATTTCGGGGGCCAGGGGATGCAAAAGAGTGAGGAGTGTGTCAGAGTGAACGTGTTTGAGTGTGTGCCGGTAACTGAGGACCGTGAGGGTCGGGAGAGAGGACACCTGGGAGATGCCGGTCTCTGCCTGCCTCGTGTAGTGGTTCCACTATTCCACTCCCCAATGTTGAGGCAGTCGAAAAGAGTAAAAGCCCGCCTAGAGAAAATAAGGGGCATCCCCACGCAAGAGAGGCTCCATTATCTCTTCTTCCAAGGACTAGAACGGTATGAAGACCACCCCACACTGCAGATAATCCTTACATTCACTCACCTTGTCATCCGCCATCTTCCCCGCCGAACTTGTTGCGCAGGCGCAGCCCCGCCTCCCTCTTGCAAAGTACTACGGCCATCTTTACTGAGGGCGGAGGTACTTCCGGGGCAGTTTTGGAAAGGGTGAAAGAGGTATTTTCCCGTCGGCCGAGCCTTGGCGGCTTCCTTCTCTCATATACCCCACGTGACTTCTCCAGCACGACCCTAACTGCGTGTCCGCGCGCGCACACGACCTGGGCTCAAGATCTCACACGTATGCGTGTGCGCGCTGCGTAAGTTCGTGTAACGAGTCGTCCGCCCTTCGATGAGCTCATAGTTGCGTGGTGATGTCAGTGGGAGCGTTGGCATCGTGCGCCTTCTCCGGTTCCACGCACGGAAACGCGCACCCACTTGGGGATCCAGACGCCTGTTTATACGCGCCACCCCTCAGCGGGCGGCGCTGCTCAGGCCCGGCCATTCCCGCCCCTGGGACCCGGCTCCAACCCCACCCCGTATTTGTGCGGCACCCGTTGGCCTGGCCCGCGCAGGGAGGCTGGGCTTGTGGGCGCTGCAGCTCCCGAGGTCGAATTGGGCTGAGATTGCCGGCCGGCAGAGGCCGGCGGGGACGCGGTCGGGGCTATGCTGGGCAAGGATTACATGCTGGCCATCATTCTGGTCAACTGCGATGGTGTGCACGGGGTCCCGATGGGAGGATGGGGAGCTGAGGGGTAAACAAGGGAGTTGACGGGGTATGTCTCGGGGTGAGGACCACGGGACAAACAACCCCTGGATCTTTGCGCTGCAAAGGATCTCCTGTACCTCCAGCCTAAGGATTGTCCCCTTTGGGATGGTGGAAGGGTTCTGACCGTGTTATTCGGACTTCACGAATATGCCATTACAATCCCGTTTTTCCTCTTCCCGTTTCGTGTTCTTGTAGATGACTTGTGGGGGGACCAGAGTCTTGAGGGAGAGCCAGGCCTGCCCCCTGGCTGGAGGAAGATACGCGATGCTGCAGGTACTTACTATTGGCACGTACCCAGTGGCAGCACCCAGTGGCAGCGCCCAACCTGGGAGACAGGAGATGCAGAGGACCTAGGCACGGTAGGTGGAGTGTGTGGAAGGGATCTGAATCCATGTGCGAATCTAGGCCTGCTGCTATACTGACCTAACCTCCTCCCTACAGAGGACGGAGGGGATTTGGGGACTTCGGCCCCCCAAGGGGAGATCCTTCTCCAGCCTGGAGAGCTCACTGGACCGGAGGTAACAGGGATAAGCCAGGCAGAATGAAAGGCTTGGGGTTCCATGGCACTCAGAGATGCAGCTGGACCCACATTCTGCTTTCAAGCCCAGGTTCTTGGCTCTGTCCCATTTCTTGAGTCTCTCAATATTTTGAATTTTGTCCCTAGATCTGTGCTCAGTGTTTTGCTACATTATCTTCCCTATTCTGGGTACTGATAAATCATGTTCTAGATCTTGGCCACTCTCCTAGGCCCTTTCTGTGGGGTTCCTGTCCTATGTTCTAGAGTCTCTTGTCTCATTTGGGGTTCTGGTCCACATTTTTATCCTGTTCCATATTTGTAACTTTTGTTCTGTGTCCACTGTCCTGAATTTTTGCTCAAGTTCTAAGCCACACTCTACGTTTCTTTTACTTAATATGTACTGGGCCCTCTCCCACTCTGGTTTTATATTTGGGGCGCACTGTGTTCTGGGTCTTATCACACATCTCCTGCCCATCAAGTAGTTGGGGTCTCATTACTGTCCCTTCTGTAGGAAGTGTGGTCTCCTTATGAGCTCTGCTCTGTTCCAGGAACTCTTTGTCCTGGTATGGTGAGGAATCCTACATCCAGAGCATGGAGCCAGGGGCTAAGGTAGTGTCTTGGGCCTGAGGGCCAGCCCGGGGAATAGTGGTGAGGGTGGTGGATTGTTCCAAGGGAAAGGTAAGGAGTGGGATTGGGCCGAGAAGAGGTGATCAAAGGTGAGGGGAGTGGGTACCCGAAGGTTTATATGTGTGGAACCTGTGACACCTCCCATCCTTTTCCACCTCCTATTCCACTTCCACATGTGCCTCTACTCAATCAGGGTCCTCTTGTCCTTTCTCCCAACCCATCAGTGCTTTGCAGTCCGCTCCCTGGGTTGGGTAGAAGTACCCGAAGAGGATCTGGTACCAGGGAAGAGCAGTATTGCAGTCAATAACTGCATCCAGCAACTGGCCCAGACTCACAGCCGTAGCCGCAGCCAGGCCCCAGATGGTGCCTGGGGCGAGGTGAGCTGGCTGGCCCTGCAAGGGATTCAGCCCAGGGCCCAGCAGAGGTAGTTGCTGCCAGATTGCCTGTTCCTTATGGCAACCACCTTTCTCTGAGCTCCAGACTGATCTTTCCTTGGCAGGGCCAGAACATGCTGATGATCCTGAAGAAGGATGCCATGAGCCTGGTGAATCCTCTGGACCATAGTCTGATCCACTGCCAGCCTCTGGTGCACATCCGTGTGTGGGGTGTGGGCAGCTCCAAGGGCCGGTGAGGACCCCTACATCCCCCCAAGTGAGAGTTGCTCCTCCCTCCCTCCTGCAGGCTGTGATCCCCACTGATGCTGATCCTCTGTACTTGAACCCCTGGACACAGATCCTCTGACATGGACCCAAGCTCTGCCTCCCCTGCCTGGTCCAGCCCTGGTTGGGGAGGGTGGGCCCAGCTCAGCAGGGACGGATAGGGGAGAGCCTCAGAGGCTGGGCTGATTCTCTCCTGTGCTCCCACATGCTTCCGGAACAGTGACAGGTGAGTGACTGCCAGGTCCTTTGAGCCTCAACCCTGATCTCCTTGTTCCATCCCCACCATATCCCTTGCCTGACTTTTCAGTCTCCTGCTGGCACTACAGGCCCCTGCGCCTACCCAGCCTCTACCCTACTCTGGTCTCTGCCACTGCCCCAGCCCCATCTCTGACCCTGCCAGGGACTTCGCTTTTGTGGCTGGTGACAAAGACAGCTGTATGCTCAAGTGCCATGTGTTTCGCTGTGACGTCCCTGCCAAGGCCATTGCCAGTGCCCTGCATGGGCTCTGTGCCCAGGTAAGGGCCAAAAGTGGGGCAGGAAACATGGGTATGGAGCTGGGTCTGAAGGTTCCAAGGTGGTTGGGTCTCTTACTTTAGTTCCCCTCTCGCTGTATCTCATGCTGGTTGCATTGTGTTTCAGATCTTGTCAGAGCGAGTGGGTGTCAGTGAGGATTCCCCTTGCTCCCTAGACCCCATCTCCCCTGAGGACCTGCCACGGCAAGGTATGGAGAAAAAGGCGCTACGCTGCAGCAACAGGCTACTTTGGTGAAAGTTGGGGTTATTTAGTCCTGGTTGTAGTACTTCTCTGAAGATATGGGACTTCTGATGTGTGCTGGTTTCAGGGATCCCAAGCTCTGAATTGGAGGAGTGAGCTTCCGTGGTCTTCTTTCTACTAGCTCCATTTCTCTGAAGGGCGGGGAGAAGGGTCATTGAGAGAATGTCCAGGCCAACTTGCTATGTGTATATTTCAGTGGAGCTGCTGGATGCAGTGAGCCAGGCTGCTCAGAAGTATGAGGCACTGTACATGGGGACCCTGCCAGTCACCAAAGCCATGGGTGAGGACTGAGCTGGCTGAGGGGTGGGTTCTATGAGGTAAGGGAAGGAGGGTAAGGCAGGATTGACCACCATTTCTCAGAGTGCACCTCTGGCCCCAGTCTGGCCTAGCATGTGCCATCCTTCCCAACTCAGGATTCTAAGCCCAGCCCCAGCTGTTCTCATATCATCTCCCTGAATCCCAAGTCAGTGAGACGGGGTAGACACTCCTTGCAGATCCCTTCTTTCTTTACTTCTGGGAGACACCATGGTGGGCATGTCCCCTCAGGCATGGACGTGCTGAATGAGGCCATTGGTACCCTCACCAACCGGGGGGAACAGGATGCCTGGGTCCCTGCCATGCTCAGCGTGTCTGACTCTTTCATGACCGCACATCCCATTCAGGTACTAGAATAAGGTGAAGTTGGGGGCTGTGGAGGGGTGGGGGGGATGCTGAGGGGTAACTGCTTGCTGTTGGAAGAGCTCAGTGGGTCCAGCCAGTGCCTGGTCCTCTAGTGACTAGGCCTGGTGTGGGCAGGCAGAAGCTGGTGCAGAGGATGAACCACTGTGGCAGTGCCCTGTGCGCCTTGTGACCTTTATTGGTGTTGGCCGTGACCCACACACCTTTGGCCTCATTGCTGACCTGGGCCGTCAGAGCTTTCAGTGTGCGGCCTTCTGGTGCCAGCCCCATGCAGGAGGGCTCTCCGAAGCTGTGCAGGCTGCATGCATGGTGAGTCAGGGGCAGAAATGGGTGGGTGGGTTTGCCCTGCAGCTGCTGTACTGGTGATGGGTTCAGGACTGGCAGTTTCTCCAGAAATCACAAACCAGTGATCCCAGGGCTGACTTTGGCAAACTATTTTATTTTGCCTTCAAGCTGTCTTTAATAAGTTTAAATTAGTCGCCAATATTTGGAACCAGGATGTTTCATGTATCGTTACTTAAAATATCAGAAGCTCTGGTACTGGGTCCCACACTTAGAAATTTCAACATTCAGCTGGAATCATGTAGGGGCTGCTCCTGGTTGGGTGGGCACTGTTTTTGCTGTTTGTCTCCTTTAGGTTATTTCCTGGCATCTGTGGGTATTGGAGTGTGGGATGCTTGAACTTTATGAGTTCAGCTCTCTCTTCCTTTAATAAATACAAGTGCCTACAGGGTACCAGGCACCATACTTGAGTTTGGCAATTCACTGATACAGAAGAAACAGCCTTTGCCCTCACAGAACACTTAGGTTAGACCAGAGACAGACCAGAAAGGGCTTGTACACCACAGGATGATGGAGGAGATGGCCACTTCAGGGGCTCAGGAAGGCTACCTGAAAGAGGTGATAGAAAACTGAGAGTTGAAGGTCTCAGGAAGAAGTTAATCAGGTGAAGGGGAATGGGACATGCGTGCCAGATACAAGGAACCCCACCTGTGAAGATGAGAGCAATAGTCATGGATCAGGATATCTGAAAGAATCTAGTATATCTGGAGTGCAAAGGGCAGAGGGGGAGAGTGAGAGATGGGGGCAGGAAGAACAGCAGACACCATGTCATGGAAGAACTTAGAGATTGGGGTGATGAATTTATTTTGTCTCCAGTCACTTTGAGCCATTGAAGGGTTTTAAGCAGTGAATTCATGTTTGTGAATGAGGAAGACCACCTAAGGTAAAAAATTCAAAAGACATGAGAAGTAGTAGGACCATTTAGGACCCCCGTTGAGTTCAATTGAAAGAAGATTGGGGCAGTTGGTGGGAATGAAGTTTGGGTTGTAGACCTTCTCCATGACTAGGGAATTCACTTTACCAGGAGGCAGTCTGCTCCTGTGAAAGATGGAGAGGAGTATGATTAAGAGCACATGGTGGTTAGTCAGAAATAGGTTTGCATTCAAATTCTTTTTTTTTTTTTTTTTTGGCCTAGCTGACCTTGGCATTCTCTCTGAACTGAAATTTTGTCATTTGCAAAAGAGTAGTAACATCTGATCAATAAGTTTAGATTAAGTTAGAGTATAAAAAGCAATTTGGCATAGTGTCCAGCTCTCCTTAAATGCTCTGTAAATGTTAAGTTTTGTGTTTGGGAATGCTGTAGGGCTGAAGATGGGGCCGACTACCAGCCTTATACTGGACTGAAGCCATGGTCCGTTCCCTGTTCTGCAAAGCTTTCAGGGAGTGCAGGGGCAGAAAGGAGCTGGATCCTCACATTCCCCTTTTCCCTAGGTTCAGTACCAGAAGTGTCTTGTGGCCTCTGCAGCTCGAGGCAAGGCCTGGGGTGCCCAGGCCCGTGCCCGCCTGCGGCTCAAGCGGACCAGCTCCGTGGATTCCCCAGGAGGTCCTCTGCCTCTCCCCCTGCTCAAAGGAGGGGTTGGAGGTGCAGGGGCAGCCCCTCGAAAGCGGGGTGTCTTCTCTTTTCTTGATGCCTTTCGTCTGAAACCCTCTCTGCTCCATATGCCCTAAGTTAATCCAGGAGGAACTGGGTAAGGAGGCTCTGGGTCCATGCCCAGCTCTATACCCCCTCATTTTCCAGGGGCCTGTAGCCTCTCTGTCCTTGAAGCCTTGTCTGCCTTCCCCTCCGGCTCTTGCCCACCCTGTTTATTGCCCAATTTATTAAATATTTATAGGGATGACTGAGAGGTCCTGCACCACAACTTAGGCCCCTGGCTGTTCTTTCCTTGGGTCCCTGTGTTCCTTGCCCCTGTCCGGCCCTGGACAGTTGGCTCTACCTCAGCAACACTTTATAGCAAAATCAGTACAAATAAAAATCCCTCAGTGACCTCACTAGGTGTCAGTACATTGGGCCTGGGACAGGGTTGGGGGTTAAGAACCTGTGTGAGGTGAGTGTCTGTCTGTGCTTGGTGTTGGTGGCTGCCTGTAGTCACATGAGGGCATGGGTGTGATGGAAATCTGATTTCATTCATCCAACAAATTTATTTTCTAAGGTCTTTTGTATGTTAGGCACTGAGTCAGTGGAATATAATAAAATATGGGTTCTGCCTTCTGAGACTGTCAGAAGGGCAGGTGAACAAGAGTTAAATAAGATAGAAGATAATACGTGGTACGACTAGGGAATTCTCAAGGTCATGGGAGCACCAACAGGATACTTAATCTGCCTAAGGCATTACTAGGCTTCCTGAAGAGTTGACATCGGCGTCCTGAAGGAAAATGAATACTAGTTACTGAGTCTACAGAGCATAAATGTGCAGGGCAGTGGAGAGGGAAGTTTTAGAATACCACCTGGCTAGATCACACAGGGACATTTGTGGGGCAGGAGCTTTTGGTGGTTTAAATTTGCTCCTGCGAGCAACTGTGACACAGATTGAGCCTATAAGGGGATAGGGCTCCTAGAGAGCCGCCTTTTGGAAAACAGCCTCCTTTGATGCCTTGTGATCAGGGCCCCGATGCCTTATTAGCTGGAGATTTCGAGTTCCTTAGGGAGCCGGCGCAGTTTCCCTACACCGGCTTCCGGCGTTTCTGAACTGCAGTTCAACGTAGAGGGCTCCTGGCAATCAGGTCGCCCGCGGGACGCCCCAATCCGCTCGGGTGTGCGGCCGCCCCGGAAGTGACGTGCTGCGCCGCTGACCCTGCGGAAGTGGAGATGGCGGAGCTGTACGTGAAGCCGGGTGAGCGCGGCAGGCTGGCTAGGGGCGCCGGGTCGTCTCCCCTGCCCAGGCCGAGGGTAGCTGCTGCAGGGGGGGCGGGCCCTCCATCTGCCCCGGGCTCGCCTCACACGTCCCCTCACCTCCGCAGGCAACAAGGAGCGCGGCTGGAATGACCCGCCGCAGTTCTCGTACGGGCTGCAGACCCTGGCTGGTGGTCTCAAGCGCACGCCGCTCACTAAGAGGGTCGCCGCTCCCCAGGATGGCTCCCCCAGAGGTGCGTGGGGACCCTTTGCGCGGAGACCGGCCGAGAATGGGCGATGTCAGGGATAAGCTTGGCCCGAGGGCCTGTTTTGTTCCTCTCACGTCTCCCTGAGAGCTTAAGCTCGGTAATGGGGCACAGGGCAGGCTCTTCTCAGAGCCCGTTCTCCACTGTCTAGGTCAATAAATAGAAAGTTTCAAAAGAATCTCTTTGCTTTCACTCTAGGGGATCTCATCCAGACCTATCGTATTTAATATAGTTTTTATTCTCAAATTGTTTTCAAATTTTATTTCCAACCTGTAGCTCTTCCCGGAATACCATAGTGGTATATCTATTTGTCTCGTTATGCACCGTCACTTGGTTATATAAGCATCCAGACTTAACGTTTTATTCATTCATTTAATCAGTGTGTTATTTCCTGAGCATCTCTGAGCCCAGGCACTGCTTGAGGGCTGACAAGACAAAGTTTCACTTTTCATGGAGGCTATTCTCTAGCTTTGGAGATGGACAGAGTTCACACATTGGAAACAGCTAGTGCAAAGGCTCTGAGAACAAGTTTGGCAAATTCAGAGACTGAAGGGATACCTAGTGGCTAGAGCACAGCGGGGTAGAGAAGTTAAAATCTGAGTAGACAGCAGACAGTTTTGTAAACCAGGAAAAGGAGTTTGTATTTTAATCTGTGTCAAGCTGGAAGCCACTGAAAAGTTTAAATCAGAGGGCCGCCTTTACTTCTGAGCATTTCCCATGCCAACAGGTGGGGCTATGGCCCTGAGAAACGGGCTCAAATGTAGCTTTTTCAATACCCCTGTATTATCCACACTCAGGACACTGCAGAGGAACAACACAAACCAAGGTTTCTTAACCTTGGTACAACTGACATTTTCGGTCAGATAATTCTTTGTGGTGAGGGACTGTCCTGTATGTTCTAGGATGTTTTGTAGCATCCCTGGTTTCTACCCATTAGATGCCAATAGCACTCACTCACCTAGTTGTAACAGCCAAAAATGCCTCCAGACATTTGCCCCAGGGACAGAATCTCCCCAGGTTGAGAAACACTGATTGATGTACATCTTCAAAACCCCTCACTGTGTCTGGTGTGTGGAAAACTGATTTCAGGGAAGAAGTGGAAAGACAAGTGGCTATTACAGAAACATGGGCAAGATTTAATTTGGACAAAAGTGCGAGTATAGAGATGGTATGGCATATGTTACTGGGGAAATCAGTAACATACAGGATATATGGATATACGTGAGAGAAAGGAATCAAGGTAATTTAAGATTTTTTGCTTGAGGAACTAGCTGGTATTGTTCATAGATATGGGAAGCTGGGGGATGGGGAAATAGAGGTTTTGGGGGGAGGGGGGAAGCAAGCTTTGTCTTGGTAATGTTAAATTTGGGCTGCTACTGTGAGGAGAGGTGTACGGCAGAATTACAGAAATGAGTCACAATCATATGGGTGGTGTTTGATTTCATGGGCTTAAATAAGGCTACTTAAGGAGAATGTGTGGATAGAGGCCTAAAGAGGATCCAACATAGCCCCAGAACTCTCTAGCATTTGAGGGTTGAGTAGAGATGGAATTACTGAAGGGGCTTGAGAAATGGCCAGAGAAAAGAAGTAGGAAGAAAAGTGAAATTTAATCTGGGAGACAGAGTAAAATTTTGACTCAAGCACGATGGATGACACTGAGAGGTCAGGTAAGATAAAGAAAAGGGACGACAGGATTTGCCAGACTAGATTGGACACTGGTGACCTGACGGTAGCAGTCTGTGGAGTGATGAAAGTAGAAACCCCGCTGGATTGGGCTGAGAGAATAAAAAAAAAGCAGACAGAATAACTAACTATACACTATATAGCTCATTCAAGAAATTCTGCTGTGAGGCAGAGAGAAATGAAGCTGTGCCCAAGGACGGAATGCAAGGTAAGGGAGGATTTTGTTTCTGAGATGGTGAACACTAGAGCATGGCTGTATGCCGGTGGGCTGATTCTCTAGTGGGAGAACTGGTGGTGCAGGAAAACAGGATAACTGCAGGAGAGAAGCCTAGCGAAGGCAAGAAGCCAGCATCGGTACAGCTGGAAAGATGGCCTCTGAGAGGAGCAGGAAACCATCTTTCAGAGGAGGAAGGAAAGTGGCCACAGGTACAGGTGGGTTAATAGAACTGGTGGGGAGAAGATGGGTTAGCAACCTTTTTTCTTAGGGAAGTAAATATGAGGCAGTATTGGAAGTAGACTGCAGGGAAAGGAAAAGCAGGGGGAGAAGGTAGACAACTCAAAGAGAAAATGTGAAAATGGTTGTTCTGAAGAATGGGAAAACAATGCAAAGGATAGGAATCTGAGTGTTGGGTACCTTTTGAAGTCTGTACCCATGGCTTTCAAGTGTAACGCAAAAGCACGGTTTTGTTTTTCCTTCCAGCAAGCGTGGGCAAGTTGGGTTTACCAGGAAAGTGGGACGGTGAGAGGGGGGATAAGTGAGGGAAGAGTGTTTATAAGGGAGTGATTTTAATGCACTGTAAAATCTGATTGGTGGGGCTGGAAGGATAGGAGAGGTGGTCAGATTTTGGAGATGTGAATGCTTGTTCAGTGTTGTGAACAAGACACAGAGGTGTGAGAGGCTAAGGAGTGGGGAAAATCATCGCTGGAGGTGAGGAGCTGAAGAAACCAAGAGGCCAAATATTAGATGACTTAATCACCCATGTAGATGCTGATGCCTAGAGTTGATTTTTCTCTTCCAGTCTTCTTCTTCCATAGGGCTTTTCTCCATCCCATTACTAAAGGCAGAAACCAAGAATCATCCTGGACTCCTCCCCCACTCACTTCCAATCCACAAGAGTCCTGTCACTGCCTCCTAAATTAATCTAAGAGCACTCCAGTTCCCCTCATCTGCTCTTTCCCTGTAGTCCCTGTCAGCCTCTTTCCTGGACTACTCTGTTAACCTCCTGACTGCTGTGCATGCCTCCATTCTTGACCTCTTCTCATCCATTTTTTCACAGACCATACAGAGTGAATGTCTTAAACCAGTCACGTCACTCCCTGCTTTTACAAACCTGCAGTGGCTTCCCATTACCATTAGGCTTGAGACCAAACTTCTCCAAAGCCTTATAGGATCTGGACCCCTGCTTGCTTTTCCAGAGATAGCTCATACTACTTTCTTTACACTCAGTCTAAGTAGTTCCCTCTATTATTCTTTTATTACATCATGTTTTCTTTGTAGCATGCAACATAATTTGGTAATTGTGTGTGTGTGCATGTCTCCCTTTCTCTAGGATTTGTGCTCTGAGGTCAGAAACCTAATCTCTCTGGTTTACTACTCTGTCTCTGGTGCTTTGCACATTGGGTTATGGTAGAGACTTCATAAATACACATTTTTGAATGATGGGGTTGTCCAGAGAGTAGCCCTCTAGAAGGGATGAAGTTAAGAATTGAGCTTCTTACCTATTTTAGCTATGTTTGCTTGATTCCACTTTACTTTTTTAGTTCCCACCTTACAGACTTCTCCGGGGCTTCCCCCAGTGGGGCCTCCACCTCCTTCAAGTAAGGCTTCCAGGGCCCCACCTGTGGGGAATTGTCCTGCCTCCAGTGTGGAGCCAGCAAATTTCTCAGTCACTGAATCTGAAACTCTGCTGGAAGATGTGCTCAAACCTTTGGAAGAGGCATTGGAAGATTGCCGCGGTCACACAAAGGTAATAAGCCTTGGCACACTAGTGGACTGCTAGAAGGACTGCCGTCAACGGCCAGATGCAGGTGTGGCTCTCAGAGGTAGACCCTCTAGTCCTTTTGGCCTTGGCTCAAGAATTTACCCATTTCTGAGTCATGGACCCCCTTCAGAATCTGTTAAGGATTAGTGATGACAACAACCTGATTTTTATAACTCTAGGCTATTCAGAGGAGACCCTGCTGATTCTGTGCTCAGGGAGGGAGAGGGAAACCTCCTTTTTGGATCTATGGTGTTTTCTTTGTTCTCTGGAGGCAAGGGATCTGAGAAGTCTTAAAGGAAAGTAACAATAAGTTTTACTTCTTTGGTCCTTAGTTTTCTCATTTGTAAAGTCGCACTACAGAATGAGTTTCTGAGGATCTGAGAAGCTCTGGAAATTTTAAAATTCTAGCCATACATGCATTTTTCTTGGGAGGAGATCCGTAAGATTTATCGGAATCTCAGTGGGGCCTCTAACCAGATTAAGTGTGAAGTTGCCTGGGCCAGAGAAAGCAGGTGCTTCCTATCTGGCCTTGCCTTTCCCCTGCTCCTGTTGGGCTGGTGGCATTGACATGGAGGGGACTTCTGTCTCTCAGAAGCAGGTATGTGATGACATCAGCCGACGCCTGGCTCTGCTGCAGGAACAGTGGGCTGGAGGGAAGCTGTCAGTGCCGGTGAAGAAGAGGATGGCTCTGCTGGTGCAAGGTACGGGTAGGTCACTTGGTGTAACCTAGAGGACTCTTGACTTGTCGTGGATGGCTGAGCTGGAATAGACACTGAGGTTCTGACTAGTTGGGAGCAGAGGAGCGGGAGCTAGGTCTTTTGCCCCAGGCTGCTTGTTTAGTCCCTTTCTTTCCTCAGAGCTTTCAGGTCACCAGTGGGATGCAGCAGATGACATCCACCGCTCACTCATGGTTGACCATGTGACTGAGGTCAGTCAGTGGATGGTGGGAGTTAAAAGATTAATTGCGGAGAAGAGGAATCTGTCTTCAGAGGAAGAGGCCAATGAAGAGAAATCTACAGCTACAGCTGAGGAGGACCAGACGGTATCAGGTGTCCAAGAGGCTCCATAGTCCTGTGGGATCCCTAGACTCACCTCCCACCATCTCCTACACCTTGGCAGGGAGGCCTGCTCTCACCTGGCTCCCTCTTAACCACTTGGGAGACTGTCTGCCCCCTTGGGATCCTTGGCCTGATCCATCCACCTCTGGAGGAAGAGGTTCTACCTGGGCCACAGGGAGTCATTTGTTACCCATAACATATGCATTTCAATAAAAACATCTCAGTAGTGGGCCCAGATAGGAGAGATAAGCCCTTTTTGTGCCAAACTGGTCCCCTGTAGTGTCTCTGACTGCCCTGCTCCTTGTATACCCTGCAGACCTCTGTTCTTCCTTCTTTCATCATGAAGGGCCTTGGCTAGGCATGATCACTTGCTGCCCACCACTTTCCCCCCAGATAGACTGAAACACACCTTCCTTGCTGGGCTGAGCATACCTTTTTTTGGATGACTTAATTTCAGTATGAGAAGAGAGGCTCAATAGCAGTGGAGAGTTTTCCCTCAAGAAAAGGAGACTGCCTTATTTGTACTGTCACCCTTGAGATATACAGTGCTATAGAGATTAGAACATAGCTGTATAAAGTGAAAGAGAAAAAGAGCAGATTGCTGAGATAGGGGATCATGGATTGTGACTTTTGGGGCCTCAATTTGGGCTCAAGAGTCTCTTCTAAACCTCTGAGGACAAGAGAGCCAGGTGAAGGGGCCACAGAGGTTCAAATCATGCTGGGAAGGGAGGATGGGGCCTGATCTTCACAGGAGGGAGAAAAGGCATGGGGACTGGAGAAGGTTAAACCCTGGGGCAGTGCCTCTTTTTTCCTGCTTTGGAATAGATAGGGAGGGACTGCTGGATAGGCCCAATTCCAGGAAGGCTGCTTCCTGGAAAGGCTGGAACAGCCCTTGGCCAGAGTCAGGCAATTGCTGTTTATGGTTTGGCGGCTCCTGTAGCCTGCCCTCACAGCCTGCCTCAGGCTCTAACTGCTGTTGGAAGTGGGCCCAATGACAGCTGGGAAGGGACCTCTGACACTAACGGGTCTGCTGGGGCCCTCAGCTGTTTGGCTGACATGGCAAGGTCAGTGATGAGGAGAACACTGGAGTCAAGGCATTTCTTTGAACGTTTACTAAGCAGTCAGACAGTGACATACTCCATCCTTCAGTCTCAGCCTCAGTCCCTGATGATGGAGGGCTGGGAATTGGGAGGAGTACCTACAGACCAAAGGGAAAGTAGAGCTAAGGGCTTGGCACGTTGCCCACTCCTATCCCTGGTCTAGCTGCCTCAGAACTAAGGGGGGCCCGAAACCAACAAGTCACTCCCTTCCAGATTAGATGAGGCCAAGTGGTGTTTGGAATACCCCAGGAAGAGGCGATGGCAGCAGCGGCATGAGGGACTCCTTTAACTCCACGCAGGGTCTTCTGCACTGGTTCAGATGTCCATTTCAAATTGAGCGTCATCTGGAGGAAGAGAAGGCAGTTGGACTGGTTGCCGGGCTGAGGGTCTGCAAGCTCAGCACCCATGCAGAAGCCCCTCTGAACATTAACTTCCCACTCTACTTCACAGGGGCATTTGACTCCCCGCATTTCTTAATTTTAGGCCCTGCTTTCCTTACCGGGTATCTCTTCCTCTGTCTCCTTCTGCTCCTTCAGCTCCTCCAGCTTGGAGGGTGGGGCTGTTGGAGGAGTTGTGACCCCGGGAATCTGAGGGAGGCAGCAGGGGGGTGTCCGGGCAATGGGTGAGTTCTTGCACTCCAGCAGGAACTTTCGGTCGTAGATGATCCTGGTGCCTGTTAAGGGGTAGGGACTACGTAAGAGGCTGGAGCTTGGGTATGGAGCTATCTGGAGTGCCACACACTTGCCTTTTAGGGACCTGGGAGTCACATTTCCCCGTATATTAAAGGGCTAGTACTCTGCAGCCTAGCTAGGATCTCAGCTGCCTAGCCTTCACAGCACTTGAAGACTTCCAGGTCTAACAAAGGTGTCACTAAGTGCCATAAAGAAAGTGGGATGCACTTTTGGTTTAGGATAGCTTCAAGTCATAGTTCTGAGAGGAACACAAGGAGACTGGGAGACTTCAGGTTCCTGTGTGGCTCTGCTGGCTCTGGGGCTTCACTGCCTCAGTGGGTGGTGGGAGGCGTTATCCCTTCATGCAGTTGGATCAGGAAGCCAAATGACAGGTGTAAAAAGGCATTTCACCCCTGCTGCCACCTGGGTTCTGATACCCTGCAGGCTAAAGCTGTGTTCCTCTGGACAGCTGCTTTCCCGGTGAGACACAGGGACATACTGTTCTTATCCTGACCCCTCCCAAGTCCTATCAGGCTCAGTCCCAGCCTAGAGGAACTTGGCCCCAGTTCTGTCCTCAAAGAGCCTTACCCTGTTCTTGCCCCTCCCTTCCCTCAGCCTCCACGTGGCAGGAAACCCTGGGTCGGGAGCCCAGCAGCTTAAGATCCCAGGCAGGCAACCCAAAGCTCCTGGCCCGGATTGCCTGAGCCCTGCTGTAGCCGCTTTGCAAGACCTGCCGCTTCCTGCTGAGACCAAGCTCAGGTGGGGCTTGGGCTCCTACTCCCCGGCGGCAAAGTTGGGAGGGGCGGGTGAGCAAGGCACAGAGTCTCCCGGAAGCTAGGCTCAAGGCCGTGTCGTATCACTTTGAGGTTTCAGGGTACTGGGCTTCAGTTTCAAACATCCCCCACCCCCTGCAAAAGCTAGAACCTGCAGAGGGGCCTGCGGACAGAGTCCAAGGCCTGCACCTCCCCACCCCTGCCCTGCGACAGCCTGCGCGCGCTGGCCTGCCCAAAGCCCGCGCACCCCCCAGCCCAGCCGGCTGACCTCCTGGGGTAGTGGCGTATAGCGTGCCCCCAGGCGTGGTGCTGTAGCAGTCGGGCAGCGGGTCCCTGCCCCCAGGAATCGGGCAGCTCGTGGATGTGGACATAGCGACCGGGACAAGCAGGAAGGCAGTCGGCTGGTGCAGAGGACGCGGAGTGCAGCTAAGTCTGAAGCCGACTCAGTGGACCACGTGCGGCCTCAGCAACAACACCAGGACGACGTCACGCCCGGGGCGGGCCACCAGCCGTCACTCAATCCGACGGCCCCGCCCCAAGCGCAAGAGCTCAAACCCGACTCGGAGAAAGTTGGAGTCCGAAGCCCCAGGCACAGGCCTTCATTTCCTGCCGGCTCATCATTGGCAGGCCTGACGCTGAGTGCTGCAGCCACTCAGCTGTTTAGTATTTAAGGTTTGAGCTGGGCGCCGGGACCAGTGAGCTATGGCGCACATTACTGTCATGTGTTAATTCACCCATTCCTCTCAACAGTTTTAGACAGTAAAGCAGTATTATTAGCCACATTTTACAGGTGAGGAAACTAAAGCCCAGAGAGGTTAAGTCACTGGTTCAGAGGCATCTTGTAGGAGGGGGAGCTGGGTTTCAGACCCGAGTATATCTGATTCCAGAGCCTGTGCTGTTCACAACTGGGCACTGCCTCCCATCAATCAGTTACGGTATAGGGTGAAAGTGGCCTCATGGCCCGGTGCACAGCAGGAAGGAGAACGTTAGGGTGGGAGGGTGGGCTTTTTGGAAGAAGTGAGACCTGGACTGATTAAAGGATAAATGTTGGGGGATAGGAGAGGCCTGCTCTTTGATCTCGCTGCCAGAGCTAACTAACCTCAGGAAACTATAAAAGGGCAGGGGGCTGGTAGAGAGCTTTGTCTTTAGCCCTCCAGGAAGGAAGATCAGTGGCTGGCCTTAGATATTTTAATTAGGCACAGTGATATGAAAGGAGGCGGGAGAGAGGTGGTGAAAGAGTAAGTACTAAGCCTAGTACATATATATGTGTGTGTGTGTGTGTGTGTGTGTGTGTGTGTGTGTGTGTGTGTCTATATATACATATATATAGTAAAAATCTTGATTTGGGGGCACCTGGGTGGCTCGGTTGAGTGTCCGACTTTGGCTCAGGTCATGATATCATGGTTGGTGACCTGGAGCCCCCACAATGGACTCTGTGCTGATAGGGTGGGGCCTTTGAATTCTGTTTGCCCCTCCCCCACTAGCACACATTCTCTCTCAAAATTAAACATCAAAATTTTAAAAAAAAAATTTTTTTTAATGTTTTATTTATTTCTAGGAGAGAGAGAGAGACAGCGTGAGCAGGGGAGGGTCAGAGAGAGAGGGAGACACAGACTCTGAAACAGGCTCCAGGCTCTGAGCTGGCAGTCAGCACAGAGCCCGACGCGGGGCTCGAACCCACGAACCGCGAGATCATGACCTAAGCGAAAGTCGGACGCTTAACCGACTAAGCCACCCAGGCGCCCCTTAAACATCAAAATCTTGATTTGATTCACTTGTCTTCTGACTTACTCAAAATCAGCATTACCATCTACTACTCACCCCCCTGATAATACTAACATTATCAGTATTAATGTTACTTCAGTTCTCGCTTCATCAGATTTCCCCTTACCTCTGATTTTTACACTCATAAAAAAGTTGTGTCTTAGAGGTGGCTGCTGGCTGGGTGGCTCAGTCGGTTAAGCATCGGACTTCAGCTCACTTCATGATCTCAAGGCTCATGAGTTTGAGCCCTGTGTCGGGCTCTGTGCTGGCAGCTTGGAGTCTGGAGCCTATTTCAGGTTCTGTCTACCTCTCTTTGCCCCTCCCCTGCTTGTACTCTGTATCTCTCTCTCTCTCAAATATAACCATTAAAATTTTTTTTAAAGCTGTATTTTAATAACTCAGTGCTTCTCAAATTTTAATGTGCACATAAGTCACCTGGAGATCTTGTAAAATGAGGATTTTTATACGGTAAGTGTGAGGTGGGACCTGAGATTCTGGGTTTTTAATAAGATCTCAGGTGATGCAGTCCCTTAGGTCTGTAGGTCCTTAGAGTAGCACTTCAGGTTGCAAGGATATTTATATTTTATTGTTTCAAAAATGTTTCTGAGCCTCTTACAAAGTGGTGTATACCTAAAAGAAGTGTCTTGACAGTACAGGAGGGTAAGTAAGGCTTGGGAACAGATTGTGGGGAGCTATTACAACTCAGCTTCCAAGTTGAGTAAGTGATAAGTCTGGTTGGGGGAGTGAGGGATGGGATGGAGGACAGTGAGACTGAAGGTGAAGATTCTAGCCTAGTGAAATGGGGTGGGCAGAAGGGCAGTGGCTATGAGGATGGAGAGAAATGGACAGGAGGGGGAAAGATAAGGTGACTGATCAAAGATGGGAGTGAGGGTTAAGGAGCTAAGCTAGGATAATTCCCAATCTTCTGACTTGAGAGCCTTGGAAGTGGTAGTACTAC